ATCCAAATGATACATATAGGTGCATCCATTTTATACATATATGTTGACGTCTACGAAATGTTTTTCAAATATCTTCCCTATAACAGGAATATGGTAGCTGAAACTTTCACACATTGTCATACTATGTATATTGAATATGTATGCACGATTTCAAGTCACAATGTTAAGTAGAAACTCTGAGATCACTTACCTCGATTTGCTGTCATATTTTTGCAATGATCCCATTCCCTATAATGTACGCGGGTACCCACGATACATTACATATAAATGACTGCATCCACATAGATCGACTAGCCACAGTGTTATACCATGAACCTATTCAAGAACTTCCTGTTGGCTTACAACTTAGAACGCATATTTCCAAAAGCATGCTGCATACCCACTGGCGGATCTGGGGGGAGCCTAGGGGCCCCTTGGGTGGGCCCAGAAAAAAAAATTGGGCCTTAAAAAATGTTTGGGCCCAAAAAGAAGAAAATGGGCCTTAAAATTTCAAAAGGGCCCACTTCTGGGTTTTAGGAGCCCAAAATTTTTTCTCTGACTTTTTTTCTCTGAACGGAACTTTGGGCCCCCCCCTTGTTGATTCCCAGATCCGCCCCTGATACCCTTCCTGCATGCACGATTTCTCTGAACAAAATGCTTGGAACAGAACATACCACACAACCCAATCGTGGCTGCCATCTATAAAAGTCACCAACGTGATTCTTCCAAATAAAACAAAATTAGTGCATTTCCGATAAATTCCACCATCTTCGTTACACAAAAGATATTGGCATACTTATCGGCTGATTAATGATTTTATAGTCTGCGGGCAGTAATGTTCCCAAACAAAAATATTACTGATTTACAACTGTCTTTTGTTTGTAAATATTAAATACATACAACCTTAGAGATCATGATCTAGCTTCATAATTGTAGCAAAAGGTGGCAGGGTTTATCGGAAACATTTATTAATATACACCATGTAAAATGTAAAACAATGTGTAGAGTAGATACAACAATCAATGTTTGTTCAGTTTCATTAACAGAAGAATGATGCAGTATTGTTCTCAAAAGAAGTGATGAATAATATAACAAGTATGAAATTTTCAATGTATTCATGTTTAGGCGACTTTTTAATGATCTATGCCAATCAATGTCAATGTCAATCCTTTATATCAGCTCATGTTTAGTAGAGTGGCAATTGAATAGTACTACCTATTCTAATAGCCTGGCAAATCTATGGATATAGCATGTGTCTATACAATACTGGAAGTACGGGAGATATTTCACAATATGGCAGTTGATATTAGAGTTGATATTAGAGCATAGCTAATAGGAGATTCTATAAATTACTATATAGAGCATAGCTAATAGGAGATTCTATAAATTACTATATACAGCTATATAGTCTTTTTGCAAAGTGTTTATTGAAACAAAAAATCTATTCCATATTCTATGTAACAAATATAATCGAATCCCCTTTAGCTACACAAATGCACCCTTGTCCAATACGTTCATATAGTGATTGTAGACTATTGTTCTGTCCAATTCTTTTACGGAATATCGGACTCTCTCAACACAGCTAAGGCTTGGTCTAATAAATCAGGGCATAATTCAATCAGAACGGCTTATTTCTATCCTTCATTCACAGGTCTTCATTTATTCCTCAATTCAAAAAGAAGTGAAATACCCTTGGACCAAGGCAAATGGCTTATTCCACCATTTCAGTTAAACTAACGATTAGCCCCTCTATTAGGAATACTCCCCATCCACATCTCTTGCAATTGCTAAGCAAGTTTACATTCCACTTCACTGTATATTACAAGAATTAGTAATATCCCAGATCAAACGTAAGTATACTCAATGTGCACACCGGAATAGCCTGACAACGGTAAAGTCAAGTCAGATACTAGTACCGTTGTCACAAATGGCGAACATAACCGTCGCTTCAACTCTTCAATCACTTGGTCTTCGTTTCATGGGACTTTATCGTCGCTAAATTTGTTCATGTATTAAGCTCTTGTGATGATGTATCATATGACATCCCGATTTCGATCAAATTGTGTCCTGAATCGCCACAATATAGCGTCTTCGATATCGTCAATCACAACGGAATCTGAATTTTAAGTAATTTACCACATGCCGCTGTCTTTGTAAATTATCCCAAATTCAGATTCCGTTGTCATTGACGATATCGAAGACGCTATATTGTGGCGATTCACGACCCAATTTGATCGAAATTGGGATTTCATATGATACATTATCACAAGAGCTTAATACATACACAGAATTAGCGACGATAAAGTCCAATGAAACGAGGACCAAGTGATTGAAGAGTTGAAGCGACGGTTATGACTGTTTATTCCATTCTAAACCTAGCTTTAAATTGACAGAATAATGGAAAGTTTCTATAGTGTAGCCATGCAGATTTCTGCTAGATTCGATTCTAAACTACTAAACAGTATACAAGGTGGACCAAAATATACAGCACGCCCGGTGATCGTACAAAATGGATGGAGGGGGGGGGGGAGTAGGCGATTTCTGCAAGAGAACTCAACAAAGGAGTGGTATCGATATGGAGAACTGAATTCAACAATGTTTTTCTCTTAAACCAATCATTGAAAACATTCTGTAAAAACACGGTATTTTATGTAATGTTGACTGATTTACAACAATTCAGAAATATTTTATATTACTGTTTTTGTTAACATTTTTTGTTTTTAGTGCAATTGTTTTTGCTCCTTTCTACCAATTCTTGAGAATGAAATAAAATGTCTTTCCGAACCTTGTTGGAACAAAATAGCATATACAACATGTTGTGAGACCTCTCAATATTATAGTTATACAAAGGAATTTTTGGTTGATTTAAAAAAAGTATTCAAAAAATTAAAACAAAATCCCCCCAAAATAGATAAAAATCAAGATAAACCTTTTATTTCATTAACAAGATATTTTTTGAAATCAACCAAAATTTCCTTTGTACAATTACAATATTGAGAGACCTAAACATGTTGTGTTTATGTCGTTTTGTTCCAATGAGGTTCGGAAAGATGTTTCATTTCACTCTGGGAACATGATACTGAGAAACAAAACAAGTGTTTGATGTTTTTTCTTAAACAATATAGATGAAAGTATATATTTATTTTTCAAACTATATTGTTACCATTCAAAAGATGACCATTAAATTGACGATGTGTACAATTTTTAGATTTTTTTATGACTGGTTTAAGAGAAACGTGTGTTCAAAAAGTTCTCCATATCGATACCACTCTTTTGGAAGATTTATTTTTTCAAGAGAAAATTTACAACTGAATTGCCAAATGAATAAGCGCAGTGCATGGCAAAATATGTTAGGTCTTCTAGTATTTTTTTGAACTGATACGCTTCTAAGATATGAGATCTATTAAAAAAGGCGCATCATCATCAACGTGCAAAAGTCAATGTTTTTGCTATAAATTAGGCAACAATGGTCCACACGACCTGGTAACATTGCTAACTTTTTAAAGTTAGTTTCCATGCGTTATACAAAAAATAATCGAAATAAATTAATATTGGATGGAGTGGGAGGGAGTGGATGGAGGGGGGGGATTAACGTATATATAAGACATGATAAGACAAGCTACTTGAATTTATTCTTATAACTCCAAATTTTCCCATTTTTCATTCTTCAGAGATATAATATCCAGTTTCATACTGGAGAGCTGAGTTTAGTTTTTTCAAATACACGAGTTCTTGTGAATTTGTTCCATCGTAAAGACATATAACTCCCCCCCCCCTCTCCATCCACTCCCCTCCATCAAATATTAATTTATTTCGATTATTTTTTGTATAACGCATGGAAACTAACTTTAAAAAGTTAGCAATGTCTTTAGTGTTGTGATAATAACGTCCCTTATACCTATTTATTACAAGTCGTGTAGACCATTGTTGCCTGATTTATAGCAAAAACATTGACTTTTGCACGTTGGTGATGATGCGCCTTTTTTAATAGATCTCATATGTTAGAAGCGTATCAGTTCAAAAAAAATACTAGAAGACCTAACATATTAAGCCATGCACTGCGCCTATTCATTTGGCAATTCAGTTGTTTTCTATTGAAAAAATAAATCTTCCAAATTTGTTGAGTTTTCTTGCAGAAATCGCCTACTCCCCCTCCATCCATTTTGTGCGATCCCCGGGCGTGTTGTGTATTTTGGTCCACCTTGTATACTGTTTAGTAGTTTAGAATCGAATCTAGCAGAAATCTGCATGGCTACACTACAGAAACTTTCCATTATTCTGTCAATATAAAGCTAGGTTTGGAATGGAATAAACAGAATGGAATTGTTAAACATAGTCCCAGCTTCTAACAGGAAAGTGAATTCAATTTAAACCGCTGCATCTCCTTTCTTACAAAAAAACAACAACATGTCCGTTGTAAAAAGACACACGGTCAGGGTAAGTATTAGATGGAAAATATTAAGACAAATTTATTTGATTTCAATGCCTGTACTTGCAAGAATAACCATTATATTGTAGATTCCACATTAGATGACTTGTGGATGCATGTCATAATCATTGTCCAAATCAACGTAACTAAGAGGATATTAATAGTATTTGTTCATAATTGTTCGTAATTTCCGAATTGATTTTATAGTTGGAATGGTCATTCGATCCATGGTATTGATATCCAATCCACATAAAATGTTCAAACAATTACATAACCTGGTTTACAGCTACTTTTTCTTGTTTTGCTAAATAATTTTCGATTTTTCTTAATTAATAAAACCATAAAAAGAAACGAACACGGTGAAAGATCGAATGTGACAATAGTATTCATGTAACAGAGCTTGTTTTCTATTTTTCTTCACGTAATGAACCAACTATTCTATTGTCCACTTATTTGTCATGCAAACACATTCGATTAATAATTAAATGAAGATCAGTTGACCATTATTCACACTTGCGTTTCATTATTTAATCGAGTACTATATATCACCCATTATCGCATATGTTGTATGCTTGCATAAATGAACCAACTTTGATTGTTAAATGCATTATCCTAACAGACTCTGTCAATATTTGAGCCAAGAATCTATTGTTCATTATAAAGCTGGTGATTGTTTAATATTTCAGCACCGTGTGTCAACTTGGACGTGGAAGAGAACAAACATAGAGAACACATCAGATGGAACATGGGTCGTACATAACCATTGTCGAATCAATTACAACGACCTCATGTCCAATAATCTTCCATAAGTGCAGCAATAACACGATGAAAAACAGTATGGCCCAGCAACGTGATCAGATGATAGCTACCCCATTGAAAAGGGCACGTGATAGTTTACACTCTATATAGAAGGAGAGGAATATTCATTTGTGATTTAGATCCCCAGTGCATAAGATCTCGACGTTCGACATACCTGAGGAGGGACCATGCAAAAGTGGATTTAATAGTATAGTTGAACATATTGGATATACAGCGTATCGCTTTACGTTTGTCGATAAGAAATAAGATAAATCGAAATCATTTAGTACATATTACGCATGATTAACAAAAGATTAAGTCAAAACGTAACAAAGTTATGCACAGCATTACCGATGATGGCATTCGATTTGACCCACCAAATGTTATACAGTTGATAGTGATAATGTCACTTGGAATAGCAGTAGTTGCCTCAAACTATATTGTCATATATGTAATCGTCCGGACGCGGTCTTTGCGATCCCAATCGGGAGTTTTTATGGCGTCGGGTGCCCTAAATGACTCGACCATCGGAGTAACATGCTTGGTGGTGTTCCCTTATTTGATAAAGGGGCAATTTAGTGATGTTTTCTGTAGCATACTTGGATATTTTGCTTTTAGTGCTATCCAAACGAGGCTTGGAATATTGACATTCATGAGCGTAGACAAATGTCTCACCATAAATTATCCATTCACGTATCCCATGAAGATGTCGGTGACGCGTGTTGGTGTGCTCATTTTAGTGATATTTGTGCAGGCGTATTTATTTTGTTTGCCCGTGTTGCTGCATAGCCACACTTACCGGCAACATGCGTTCGTTTGTGAAATGAATTGGTTAACGCCATCGATATATCCTTACGTTGCCCAAACCTATATCTACGTACAACTAGTAATAATGACGTCATGTCACGTCAACCTTTACCTCATAGCAAGAAAGCAGCTGAAGAAAATGAAAGAACTTGGTCAAGGGAGCGTCAAACTCGAGAAAAAGAACGAAACCTCAAAGAAAGGATGGGTTGGACCAAATATCAAATCTCAACTCAGAGGGATAAAAACATTATTCCTATTGGTAGGGATATTCTACATTTGCTGGATAACGTACATAGTTGCTCAAATTATGTATCCTACATTTACCAGAAATCTCGTTCAACTTCATGTTATTAACTTTCTTTCTATTTGGTTAGGGTTTTTAAATCTATCATGTAATTGTATCCTGTATTATCTAACCAACAAGTCGTTCTCTTCTGGATTCAAACGATACGTTTTACATAAAAAGAACACCGTTGATACTGAAATGTCAATGTCTCTGACGGCATAAGGCAAAATCCCTGTTCAGATCGTTTGTAAAAAGTTATAAAGTTCCAAAATATTGATTGATTAATGCCTTGGTCACATAGGCTCCGATTTTCACTACGGCGCCCGGCCGATTGAGTATTTTGTTCAAAATTGAATACAATATTGAACAAAACACTCAATCGGCCGGGCGCTCGCCGATGGATCGGAGCATATGTGACCCAGGCATAAGGGAGAGTTATTTCTACATGCCTGTTGGAATAAAAATGTTGTCAAGAAATAAAAAATCGAGTTGAGTTATTCTTTCTTGAAAAATGTTGGCTATTCGTAATACGCAACCATATTCAAAATGCCTTCTTGAGTAGTAGAAGTCCTCTGCACATAGTAGATTAACCAAAGTTTGAATTCCATAATTTAGATTATAAAAGGTGTGAATCAGTAATTATATTTTTACGACAAGTGGCATTTAGAAATTAAGCAGCCATCTTTAAAATCTCTTCTTTAGCATGCACAGCTTTAGCAACGTTGTCCTTGGACATCAGCATTTTAAAATCTGAACCCCTCTCCATTTATCTGTACATGACCACCTCAACATTAACAAATAAAAAGTACACCCCTCTCAATAAGTTTGGGAATTCGAAGTCTCCGATCGATAGCATATTAAGTTGTTAACATTTGTTCATGTTTGAACCTTTCATAAGTGCTCCAAATGGGATCGTCACTGTTAACTTTTAGGGGGAGTGTAATTAGATTTTAACACCGGTCAGAATTCCCTTTACTCTTTTCAAGAATTTGGTTTCGCATTTTTTTTATTAAAAGACTTTCATCTACACTCGAGACTGAGAGTGGTTATTACATATAGCCCCATACTGAGCTCCTGTATTGGTTAACCAATATATTCCTTCGGAGCCACATCTCGATCAATCAAGGTATTTTATATCTTGACCTATCGAGGTATTTGAGCCTGGTCATAGGAAAACCGGTCTTATCACACAAAAATTAAAATAGTGCTACACAAAAATGTGCCAAAAATTAAGAGGAAAATGTGCTAAATTAAAATCCGACTTTTTGGTCTATATATGCAAGGAAAATCGTCAAGTCAGAAGTCATGGCTCATTTGAAAGGTCTTTTTGTGATTTTTAAGATAAACAAAAAACAAAATATTGAAAAATCTGTGATAAGACCCCTTTTCCTTTGGCCTGGCTCATTTTAAATCTTGATCCACCAAGGTATTTATATCTCGATCCATCAAGGTATCATGTCTTGATCCATCAAGGTATTTCATACTGATTTAACAGTATCATACATTGATGGATTATCATGGTTTATAACATCGTCACACCCGGCATAGGAAGCGGCCACTGGGAATAGCTGGCAGTCATTCAAGTTGATAATATAACTTAAAAGTGCTTGCATGAAGTACCTCCAAATAAATAATGTTGACGTTTTATATCGATATATAATAAAATTATGTAATTGTCCCTTTGAGGTGTGTTTATAATGTTAAGATGTTCACTGCCTGTTTCATCGAGTACTAATCGAGAGTCATAATTTGGACATCCTGTGCAGTGGACCGGTGTGTGTACATCGTACATGGTTTTCTCCATCCAACCGAGACCAACAACTGATTCATGCGGTGAGCAATTTTGGTATACCTTATTATAAATCATTGATCTTGAGCTTACGTGTTGATTCATATATTAACAAATGGTTTAAATTTAAAAGATTATTTCTTTTATACACTGACACACCCCGAGAACATACGTTTTCTGCTGGATACGAATTAAAAGCACAGTATTGGATTTGTTAAAAAAACGCCGGTTCAAGGATATGGAAAAATCAAGGTAAGTTGACATGTTTCAAAGTTGAAATCAGTACAATTTGAAATATTGGGAACATTTTCATTTTCCTGGTGTCTTCTAGGATGACAAAAGCTAGACAGGTTAAGGGTGCTTGTACGTGAACGTGTAATGTAATGACCCCCGGGGCCTGATTACTCCTCCCCCCCATTGGGGTTTTCAAAGGGCCTGATTATGAATATACAATCGGGTATTAATACGAATCTAAGAGGTCCATTATTTTACACATTCACGCAAACGTGTTTCGGGACAGAACTCTTCAATGGCGACCTCGTAACCCCCCTCCCCCACCCCCTTCATTCTTGTCTCATATCAAAGGTAGGATGGAGAGGGTGGTTTCTTCGATAAACAAGATAGAATATATTTTCAATAGTTTTGTTTAGCTGAAGAGAGCTTCATCTACGTGTTTTATTTCCATGGTAACTCTTGCGGTTGTCAAATTCAAAAGGTTACGTTGTCATGATTACAAATATTTTGGGGCATTTTCTGGCAATATTATTGATATGAGGTTATAGGGCTAGGAATGATTACATACAAATGTGCCTTTCTCCCCGTATGAGGGGACACAGTAAGATGAAACAGAAATCCATGAATCAACTTAAAACAGCAAACATCCAATACTGCATTATGTATTAATACCAATGTCATTTATTGATATGAAGGACTACGCCTTTAGATCTTAAATAGCAGGCCAATATTTTTCCAGATAAAACGTTTTTTAAAGCATCTGGAGCCAAAATATTTTCCTGGCCAATCGAAGGCTAACTTGGTTCCATATATGGCACATAAAATCTTTAATTTCACTCAAGTTCGAATATGCTTAACGACCCCACAACTAATGGTACATCCCATGGGTTAAGTACAACATGTATTATGGATAATCCAGATAAGTCAAAAACTCCTTTAACTTAAAAAGGATATAGCCATTTCACAAGTCGGATCAATCCCACATATGTATTGCATATTTGTATTACACTACTCGGCAAAAATTTGCATATATTGCATGAATAACCTGAATAACGTTTAACAATTGCTGAACTTACGTGATGATTATATTCATTGTAAATTGTCTCAACTCTCAGAACGAGAATTTCAATTTTATTCTTTATAATATTACTTTTTATAAATTAGTTAATTTTTGTTTTAAGTTTATGCTCGCATTTCTGTTTCTAAACTTATTTCGAGAAATGTACATGTATTAGCGTGTGCTACCTATACACTTGATATTTCAAACTCCCCTACAAAAACATGTGAACAAAATGCTTAGCTTAGACCCATACAGCATGAGAAATCATGGCCTTCTTTAAGTTCCTTTCTAGAAATATTTCTAGTTAGAAAGATGTGAAAAGTATCAGAATGAGATGAATAAGCCTAAAATATCTTAGAAATATAGAATCACCAAATAGGCAACCATTGACATCAAATGTTTCGAGCGATACCCATATTCGCCAGAAAGAAACACTATCTTCCTATTTTAACTTTTCGATGAGAAATGAACTGTATCATTTGCCAAACGTTTTTTATAGTTTTGAATTATACCAGCCATGGTCTCTGCATTGAAAATAAATCATCCACGTTGAACGGCCATACATATAATTAACTGTCTGCTTACTCACCTAGAGCTTTTCATATTTTTAGCGTTTCCAAAGAATAGCCCCCTTACTCCTTTTTATTCTCTTTCTCCAATCTTTAATTTGTTATTATTCACATGCATAATTGAAAAGGAATTCACACAGAGCAAAGTCTGGTCAAATGTCAGCCAATCTGAACACAGTATTTCAAATAAACTGCATTCTTGAAATTACAAACAAACTTGTCTATCTTATATACTGATTTTTAGATTCTAATTTTAGATTTAATCAATTTCATGAATGGTTGTCAAAATGGGCTGCCTGGCTGCAGTAAATCTGTTTTCTTTTCTAAAACTGTTTTGTCATGTGTAAAAAGGACTGATCTCAATGCATGGTTTGTAAAATATATCACTCGTTGATTGTTCAATCCTTGACCTTCGGTCTTGGTTGGAACAATCCACTTGATCAATATTTTACAAACAAAGCATGGTGTTCATTGATTGAAACCTTAAGTAAACTTATTTTGATTACTTGTAGATGAGGGCCCTTGGTGACACATAAGTGACAATCTTTATTTGGAAAATACAAAACGGGAAATTGCCTAATAAGAATAGAATACAAATAGGTACGTCGGTGGTCGGACATAGTCTCTCTCAACCGTGAATACGTGAATAAGGTGATTGATCACATCAACATTGGCTAATCTATAGAAATGTGTAATAAATGCATCATTGCAGGGTGGGATATTACCTAATATAACAACACTCGTACATAAAGCACTTTAATTTTATCACACTGCTTTTGATACTCGAATTAGAGTAGGATCTGAAATAATCGGGATTAGCTATATCATTATTTTCAACATTCCAAAATGCTTACATTCATTATCAATCGTCACAATTGCAGTGTTACTTAAAACTTAATGATTTCTTTTAAACTATTTTCTTATCCAGGGTTGTAAAAGATTCCTCTCCCACCAGACGACATTAAGGAACAGTTTATAGCAATTCCCAACGCAGCAACACACATATAAAAACAAGGAAAAACAAACACAAAAGTGTGTAGTACACATCAAAGTGCAAGAGGGAACACTGAACAATGGATCAGATACCAGTAGAACGCACCGACAGTGGTGGAAGCAAGGGTGCCTACGTCTCAAGCATATACGTGAAACAGCCAACTAGCTCAAATGGCCCTTTTGGAAAAGACACCGGATCAAGTATATACGTGAACCAAGAACAAGTTGACAAACAATTACCACCACCTCAACCTGAATTTGATGACGATGAATTCGATAGTGTTGACAACAATAATGACACAGATTTATGGCCAATGCCTCCAAATGTTGTCGATGAAATAACTCTTTCAAACGGAACTATGTCAGGACAAGATATAGAAAGCAATGACGATATTGATACACGATTACAGTATACAGTCAATGACAAGGTAGACGGCAATTTGATATTACACCCCCTCCAAAAGTTTGAGAACGTGTTTGTTAAAGGTTGTCTATGAATTATGAAGGGTGTTCTTTTGTAGAATGTCTTAAAATATTAATCTAAGAATTCTTGTGCGTTTCCTTCATGAAAATAACATGCAAAATATATTTAAATAATCAATTTCTCAAAGATATTGTTTGCAATCAAAAAACTCGTCAAACAAAAATATTTTGAGTATGAAAGATATTTTTCTTAACTTTGAAATATACAATGTATAGATCTGACACTTCCTTTAACATATCATCGTTTTTCCTATAATCCCCTTTAATACATGTATCCAATAGGGTCCATACAGATCAGAGCCTTACACCGTTGGTATTTATGACATCCCTAAAAAGTCCAAAGGGAAGAACGGACGAACTTGCTGCATCATGTGTGTAGTTTTAGCTGTGATGTTTGTATTACTCATAGGAATTGCAATCTTAGGTAAGTGGTATACCATTTAGGTAGTCCGGTAAAGCATGTGAGTTGTGGAATAAGCTCTGATCACGATAAGCTCAAATGGTAAGTCAGAAAATCAACACATTATGTTTTGAAAAGTCAATATCAACTTGACTTCCAAAAGTTTGGAAACCGAAATTCGCCAATTTGACCGACGACGTGTATATTTTCCGTAACACATCACATTTAAAGATGTACTTTGTTTCAAGATAACGGTTAGTGGTAATTTACCTTCTTCTAAGGCCACTATATCGTGGCCTTCGTCCAAAGATAAATCCCTGCATGTTTTTTACTGTTGTATACGGGTCATGTCGTAATCATAAAATTTGAAATCAAATGTTCGCCATTTTCCACATCACAATTTGAATTGCGAGTCTTGGTCTTATTACCTCACCAAAAATTCCAAAACACACACGAAGTGATCAACGTATTAGTTCATATCTTCTGGATTGCTAACTCAGAATCTACAGCCCCTTTTCAGAAACATCGATTAGACTAATTACATCGTATTTTTTTTTCACTTAACAAGTATGCATTTGTTTCCGTAAGAATCTCATTTATTTCAAAACTAATTATTTATACCACATCATAGTCAAAATTCAACAGTTAATATTTGTGATGAACTTCACCTTATTCATTCCATACACTCAAACCCGAATGTTTAATCAATTTATTTTATTTTTCAGTTTGGCGGCTTGTAGTAGATGATGGAAGTGGTGAGTAGACTAGTGTTCTTAGTCAACAATGTTTAAGATAAATCGAACATTTCCCATTCACATATGCTTTATAAAGGCATTTTAAATTGAAATGACACACTCATTCATTTCACTCGCTAGATAGTGATTGTTCAAGAGACCAATCGATATTTGCTGAAACTTCAAATGAAGACTTCAGATTTTCTACCTTTTAAACGAGAATTTTGAGTTTTGCAAGTGTTATTACTTATTTAGGTCTACTATTGTATTATTTATAAAAATGATTAATTATTTTTCAGGTGTTTCTTCAACAGATCAGTTAGTTGGCTCTAATGGTAAATACAAACGTTTCTTTTTTTCACCCATAAAAATTCAACTATTAATACAATCACGGGCTTTCAACATCTCTTGAAAGCCCTTGATACAATTCAAAGCACTTTGAACACAAGTCTTTAAGTTTGCCTTAGTACCAACGGTAGTAATAAAATCACCGCATGAAACAAGAGTGCTGCCATTCTGCTCTATCGATCAATTCCTCTCTGAAATAATACGAGCTGTGGCTATCAAGATCGGCTGTTACGTAGTTGTCTTTATATTGCTTACACACACATATAATCCGGGAATAATTTAGTCTTGACTCAACACCCCTCTTATCTACTCTTTTGTTGGTGAAGTAGACGGGGGGGGGGTTCCCAGTCTTGGAAGCAAGACTAGCAATTTAATTGTTTTGAATGCTTTTTATTAGTTGATGGCTATGGTCCATGGTCTCCATATACCTCATGTTCTGTCACATGTGGCGAGGGAATGAGACAAAGAACACGCGACTGTCTACTATCAGCTAATAACTGCACAGGAAATTTTGAAGATCAAACCTCGTGTACCAATCCAGCCTGTCCGGGTAAGTTTTATAAAAAACATTCTACTGTTAGTATACTGTGCTATATGTGTGCTTTAAAATGTGGCTAAACAATTTATTTATTCACTGCATATAAAGCAAATGTTATGAAGCCGTGTATAAATGAATCATAATGAATGTTGTTAATGAAATAATTTTGGAATTTTAAAAGTACATTTATGAAGAGGAACATTGTTTCAAACGTCAACTGTTTCTCGGTCAATTTAAATTCGAACCGTATTAATATAATTGTCAATAAGTAAAAGATTACGTAAAGTAAGAGTACACTTGAAATACCCATATGTTTTTATTACATAGTTGATGGCAACTGGGGAAGCTGGGGCAACTGGCGAGCATGTTCTACCTCCTGTGGTATCGGATCACGTGATAGGTCAAGACCTTGTGACAATCCCTCTCCCGCCAATGGTGGACAACCTTGCTTCAATGCATCATCTAGTATACAATACGCTGATTGTAACCAACAAGCTTGTTCTATAAGTACGTATAGCTTTTCCATTGAAGGTTGTTCTAAAAAATACAACTCATTTAACCTACATATGTATTTGGCGAGACACCAGCAAAACTAAAAAAAACATTGACAACTATTCAAAAACATAGGTCGATGATGATTTCGTAGTACTTTTCATTTCTCTAGGATATGCCTGACCATGTCTTTCTTTTATCAATAGACGACTGTGAAAGGGGAGAATGGAGTTCATGGAAAAGCGGGTTCTGTTCGATAACATGTGGAGGGGGAGTTCGCGAGGAGAGGAGACAAAGGTCCTACATTGTCCAAGGGGGCCCATGTATAGGGAATGAAACTGAATCAAGAACAGCGATATGTAACACACAAATATGCACGAGTAAGTTCCAAAAATTAGAATACAAGGTTGGCCTGTTGTGACAGATCAAACACATCGAAGTTAGGAACAATCCAATATTGTCCTCACAATGTAGCGTGAAATAACATGACATGACGTGAACATTACATTGATAATAATACAACTTTTAAATCAAAAGGTAAAAAAAATAAAATAGATGACGTCACCAAGTATCTTCGGAGCTTCTATTTTCAGATATTGAGCTCGGAGACTCTTGTAGCGGAGGAGGACTCTGCAAGGATGGTAATGCTGAATGTAATAATGACACATGTGCGTGTAAGGATATGCATTACAATAACGGAACTGTATGTGTCATAAGTGAGTCAAATATTTGCTAATGTTGATCTTTTTATAAGCTAAGTTGAGACAGAAGAGTAAAACTACGTGTAAAAAGTTCCTCTAATTTTGCATAAAACTATTTCCCGACACTTTTACAAAGTTCACTAAATCTAAAAAAAATTGGTACACTTTTTGGAGTTATTTTGTATTAACAAGCATATTAAATAACTTGAGATACCTTTATATTGTCTGTTTTAGAATTAGATCTGGAGTCAGCTTGTACAAGTGAAGGTCAATGTGCTGACCAAAATTCTCAATGTGCAGATACGGGTAATGGAACAATATGCGCCTGCAAGTTAACACATTTTAAAAATACAACTGGAACATGCACTGAAAGTAAGTTAAGATACTTTATTTTTATTCTGCTTTTTGTTTTCAGCAATACTCCATTTACATATCACAAATAAAATTGGCTTGACATAATCGTGGATACACTAAAACGAAACCAAGGCAAAAAATAATAAACAATATCAACGCATTCAACTTAGTAACAGGGTAGTATGAAACATATACACAACATACTCCAACACAATACAATACTCGATAATACATTATAATAAAATATTTGGAGGTGCTTTCCTAAGGGTATAAAATGGCATTTTCATTATATTGCATATTGTGTAAAACTATGGTAATGCATATTACTTTCCAGAATTCGCTCTTGACCAGATTTGCTCTGATTCCAATGAGTGTGCGACAGATAATGCTGAATGTAGTAATGTCACATCTCCCAGTACATGCCTTTGTTTACGAGAGACACATTTCCCAAAAGAAGGAGCATGTGAAGAAAGTATGGCTCGTATTTGTTTATTTTCAGACATGATTTTTATTGTTCAAAAATATCGTGAACATTGTAAATAATCATCGAAAATGCTATTTTTATTATATGGAGATGATTGATTTTTTTCACTCACTTATATAATTATTCACCTATAAACTCACATACATTTTTTCAATATTATCTAAAATTGATGAGTTTGACATTATTTATGGATGATTGGGATATATTGACAAAATGGTTAATTCCAGAGGTCGGTCTGAACATGCCATGCACAGGAGAAGATGGAGAATGTTCTGATCGCAATGCAGAGTGTAGCAGTATTGGGAATAGTCAAATATGTTACTGCAAAGACACACATTATGTGAGAGATGGAACTTGTGTCGAAAGTGAGTCTAGAATAGTACTCTGGAATGACCGCTTATGCTATCGTTATCAATTACACAATTTCACAGAGAAATAATTGAACTAGCAACAGGGAACACATTCATTTCCTACAACAGTTTGACTATGTAACGATAATCTAGATCAGAAGTACAGGATCAACCCATGGCTCAATGAATTTTTTGGTTTACATTTATCTTGAAGTGAACCAGCATACACCTCTTCTTAACCTAATCCATATCCATTTGTATCTAAAACACACAATTATGATGACTTTCACATCGATTTCTTCACATCATATAAGACAGATTCCCTGAATATATCATAAACATGATAATTTACTATTTCTACGAGTGAAGGATAAATAGAGATTATCCTATATGAGGTTCAGGATATTGGGATTATCCCGAGGCCAATATAATATATCTGCCCGAGGGCCGTAGGTCCCGAGGGTAGATATATTATATAGGCCAAGGGATAATCCCAATATCCTGAACCGACAAATATTCATCTCCAGTTTTGTATTCCTGTTTCTTTCCTATTCAAATCTTTGATTATTAACGCCGGTACACTGCTCCTTCCCTTCTTTAAAGCATCAAACAGGTCGAGATTGTCTGCGTTTTTCTCCATTGTCGTTTACAGTATGCGAACGTTACAAAAAAGAACCAATACGGGAACAGCGATTATGACGTAGCGGGCAGATATAGTATATCTGCCCGCTCGGAGCGGGACGTAAAGCTATATCTGCCCGCGGATGAAAATATAAGTTTTTACAAACCGGCTTTATGTACCCGTAACACGTCCAAGTATGGGATAAAAATGTATACGCTCTTTATCGAGATACTTTCTTTGCATGAATTTCAAAACCATTGAAGACGACTACATAAATGTTAAGCTTGGATGATTTGCATTTTTAGGAACGGTTCTTAACAAGGCATGCAACGTAACTTCTGAATGCATGATTGACAATTCGAAGTGCACAGATGTAGGGAACGGAAAATTATGTACTTGTGTAGATTCTCATTATGAAAATGGAGATGTCTGTTCATTAAGTAAGAATATGCAACATCAGAATACATCATATGTATATTTCAAATACATTGTCCGTTGTAAAACTCAATTTAGAATATCATGTAATGTAATCCAAAATTGGATACAGATTCTCTTTTTTGTAATTTAGGAAAATGTATCCCCTAATGCTGTGAAATTCATAACTGCATTTGTTATATCGTTCTAGAGAGGTCTGTGGGACAGGCTTGTGAGGGGGACAACAATTGTGCGGACCCTAATTCCGAATGCAGCGACAATGGAGGATCAAATCTCTGCTCCTGTTTAGATACATTCTATGACAATAACGGAGTGTGCGCTTCAAGTAAGATTATATTCGATCTTGCTTTGGTTTTTAAATGGTGATGCCTGTTTCAAAATACATCTCATAGATTTCTTGGATAGTCCAGTACACTAAATATGTCAACGCTAGAAGTGCATGTTTGATTTTAAACTATAGCCATTTACAAGCTCGGTCTTATTATTGTGTTGTATCATTTCAAGGATACTAGTCAGTTATTCTTCCTCAAATAAGAGCAACATTTTCCACAGCTAACCATCGTGATATTGGTTCTCGATTGAAGGGGAAGGGGGATGTCAGACATTATTTCTTTTCATGTTATATCAGGGTGGCATTATGTCGTGGTTTTGGGATGTATAGGGTCTATTTTATATTTTTATGACAGGTTTACAAGTTTAGAGTTTGATTTTCTTGCTAGGTTTCTTTACAATTTTTGGTCCTTTCTCTTTGTCGTTTGTGCTTAGATATTGGATAATTTAGTATTTACTTTCAGAAATTGACCTCAACCAGCCATGTAGAGGAATACCTGGAGAATGTGCAATCAACAATTCAGAGTGCAGCACTGTCGAGAATAATCAAATATGTTACTGCAAAGATTTATACTATGAGGGTGATGGAGTTTGTTTTCCAAGTAAGTCCCTGAGATCACGGACCATTCTGAGATCCTCGTATTCAACAACTTACCTCTTTATTATATCAAACGTTTTGAAAGCACTAGCCAAATTTACCGTCTTTTATACTCATTCCAACCATTTGAGCGTTTTTACTGGTTTTTAATTGCCAAGCACATTCTGGTATGCCATAGCCCCTCTTATCTGCCGTTTGCGTTCACTTTGGATGGATAAAGACAAATGGCTATATCGCGATGTGTCAATCATCTTAATTATCTTTATTTTTAGGACCAATGCTTAACCAGGCATGTAATGCAACTAGTACATGTATGATTGATAATACACAATGCACAGATTTGGGAAACGGACCAGTCTGTAATTGTGTAGATTCTCATTATAATAATGGAAGTGTCTGCGTATCAAGTAAGAACCCAAAAATAGTAATCAAGTATTTGTTATCATTTTTAATAATCTCTAAACCAAATATATAAAATATAGGATATCATGTAGTTATCTATGTTCATAATTAACGTAAATAAATCCTGAATAGATGCGAATACTAGTATTATTCGAATATTGATAATCGAACAGGTGTGTTATTTTTCGTTATATATGACATTTATTTAGTTTTTCAGATGCGCTTATTGTTAATGTAATTTCAGAACGTGGCCTTAACGAGTCCTGCACTGCAAATGGACAGTGTGCCGACGCGAATGCTGAATGTAAGGGCATTGGAAGTGAACTCATATGCTCATGTAGTGATGACTATTTTGAGTCTGAAGGAGTATGTACGTTGAGTAAGTAACACTTCGCTGCCAATTCTTACAGTTAGGCATTGGTTTAACCATTGTCAGATAAGACAGAACTTTTCATCTCCTGTATCTGCGATCTCTATTTTCTACATCTGAATCACGGCACCTTATCTACATAAGGCTATGGGTTAACATATCAATCTATATGAACAACTAACCTCTATTACAGAACGTGGTCTTAACGATGCATGTCTAGCAAACGACCAGTGTGCTGACGCAAATGCTGAATGTAAGGTCACTGGAAGTGAGCGCATATGCTCATGTAGTGATGACTATTTTGAGTCTCAAGGAGTGTGCACGTTAAGTAAGTAACACTTCGCTGCCAATATATTAAGCTTGAATGAAACATGTTACACAGGAGTTGAGTGTAAAGGCACTGGGCGTGAACGCATATGTGCATGTAGTGATGACTATTTTGAGTCTGAAGGAGTGTGCACGTTAAGTAAGTACCACTTCGCTGTCAATATATCATGGTACGTTCACACCAACGGCGCTTTGATGGCGCTTTAAAGCGGCTTGTAAAGCGGCACCAAAGCGTAACAAAGCTTAATTAAAGCGTCAGGGTCGTAATAGGTCGTAGAAAAGCTCGGGAGTAAAGCGGGATATTCGGCAAGAGCGCTAAAAAATTTAAACTGTTTAAGCGTTCGCACCAACGGCGCTTTGATGGCGCTTTAAAGCGGATTGTAAAGCGGCACCAAAGCGTAACAAAGCTTGATTAAAGCGTCGGGATCGTAATAGGTCGTAGAAAAGTTCGGAGTAAAGCGGGATACTCGGCAAGAGCGCCAAAAAATGTTAAACTGTTTAAAAATTTTGGGCGCTCTGTTACGAATTGATTGAAGCGCCGAGAGCGTATCAAAGCTTAACAAACCGTAACAAAGCTCAACAAAGCTTGACTCAAAGCGTAGGAAAGCTTAACACAGCTTGGTTCAAAGCGGGGACCCCAGTCTATTCACGGTCTGTTATCACTTGACACGCTTCGTTAAGATGTCTCAAGATTTGCTACGATCTGGCATGAAGATCTGACACGAGGTTCGACGCTTTCATCAATATCTGACACTCTTTGTTACACTTTCCTGAGGGACTCTCAAGCTTTCCAACGAATTGAGACGCTTTAATCAAGGATTGAAACGCTTTGCTAGGCTTTGTTACGCTTGAAAGTTTTCACACGCTATATCACGCCGTGCGACAAACGTCATGTCTTCTTCAGATATGTCATGCTCTGGTCCATCTGGAATTTCTGGATCTCGTTGTTCTGCCATCGTGTTCTCGAGTCAAAGATGCAATGGTTTTATGGATCTACTGCATCTTTATATAGTCATTGGATCAAAAGCGGCATGGAATCGGCGATCTCGACATTTTCCAATGCGTGACAGAGCTTAACAGAGCTTAACAATGCACAACAGAGTTTTGCAATCGTATCAGAGCCTGATTTAAAGCGTCATAATCGCATCAAAGCGTAATAATGCTTATCAAAGCTTTTCAAAGCGTGATTTCAAGCGTAACAAAGCCTGATCAAAGCGGGATCAAAGCGTGAGGAACCTTTTAGAGCTATGTTAAGCTTTCCTACGCTTTGGATCAAGTTTTTCTGAGCTTTGCTACGGTTTGTTAAGCTTTGATACGCTCTCGGCGCTTAATCGATTCGTAACAGAGCGCCCAAAATTTTTTAAGAGTTTAAAATTTTTTGGCGCTCTTGCCGAATATCCCGTTTTACTCTGAGCTTTTCTACGACCTATTACGACCCCGACGCTTTAATCAAACTTTGTTACGCTTTGGTGCCGCTTTACAATCCGCTTTAAAGCGCCATCAAAGCGCCGTTGGTATGAAGAAAAATGACAAAAATGACGGCGCTTTGCTCGCCGATTTAAAGCGTGGCATTCGCCGTTGGTGTGAACGTACCTTCAAGCAAGAGGTGACTAAATAGTCTATATACCCTTGGCGGATGGATATGGAAACTCAAACACTAAATGGAACATGCTTTCAGTTAGGCACTGGTTTAAACATTGTCACATGAGACACAACTTCCTTTCCTGTATCTGTGATTTCTATTTACTACATCTAAAACGCTGCACCGTTATCTACATTGGGCTGAGTTTACATACCAATCTAAATGAACAACTAACCTCTATTACAGAACGTGGTCTTAACGATGCATGTTTAGCAAACGAACAGTGTGCTGATGAGAATGCTGAATGTAAAGGCACTGGCAGTGAACGCATATGTTCATGTAGTGATGACTATTTTGAGTCTGAAGGAGTGTGCACGTTGAGTAAGTAACACTTCGCTGTCAATTCTTACAGTTAGGCATTGGGTTTAATAATTGTCGACAGATAAGACAGAACGTTTCCCTTCCAGTACTACTAGTATCTGCGATCTCTATTTACTACATCTAAATCATGGCACCTTATCTACTTAAGGCTGTGGGTTAACATATCAATCTAAATGAACAACTAAACCTCTATTACAGAACGTGGTCTTAACGATGCATGTTTAGCAGACGAACAGTGTGCTAACGAGAATGCTGAATGTAAGGGCACTGGCAGTGAACGCATATGTTCATGTAGTGATGACTATTTTGAGTCTGAAGGAGTATGTACGTTGAGTAAGTAACACTTCGCTGCCAATTCTTACAGTTAGGCATTGGGTTTAATAATTGTCGACAGATAAGACAGAACGTTTCCCTTCCTGTACTACTAGTATCTACAATCTCTATTTACTACATCTAAATCATTGCACCTTATCTACATAAGGCTATGGGTTAACATATCAATCTATATGAACAACTAAACCTCTATTACAGAACGTGGTCTTAACGATGCATGTTTAGCAAATGAACAGTGTGCGGATGAGAATGCTGAATGTAAAGGCACTGGCAGTGAACGCATATGTTCATGTAGTGATGACTATTTTGAGTCTGAAGGAGTATGTACGTTGAGTAAGTAAAACTTCGCTGCCAATATATTAAGCTTGAATGAAACATGCTGGACAGTTACAAATTGGTTTAACCATTGTCAGATAAGACAAAACTTCCTTTCCTGTATCTGTGATTTCTATTGACCACATCTAAAACACTGCACCTTTATCTACATTGGGTTGAGTTTACATATCAATCTAAATGAACAACTAACCTCTATTACAGAACGTGGTCTTAACGATGCATGTTTAGCAAACGAACACTGTGCTGATGAGAATGCTGAATGTAAAGGCACTGGCAGTGAACGCATATGTTCATGTAGTGATGACTATTTTGACTCTGAAGGAGTATGTACGATGAGTAAGTAAGACTTCACTGCCAATATATTAAGCTTGAATGAAACATGCTGGACAGTTACACATTGGTTTAACCATTGTCAGATAAGACAAAACTTCCTTTCCTGTATCTGTGATTTCTATTGACTACATCTAAAACACTGCACCTTTATCTACATTGGGCTGAGTTTACATATCAATCTAAATGAACAACTAACCTCTATTACAGAACGTGGTCTTAACGATGCATGTTTAGCAAACGAACAGTGTGCTGATGAGAATGCTGAATGTAAAGGCACTGGCAGTGAACGCATATGTTCATGTAGTGATGACTATTTTGAGTCTGAAGGAGTATGTACGTTGAGTAAGTAAAACTTCGCTGTCAATTCTTACAGTTAGGCATTGGTTTAACCATTGTCAGATAAAACAAAACTTCCTTTCCTGTATATGCGATCATCTCTATTTACTACATCTAAATCACAGCATCTTATCTACATAAGGCTTTGGGTTAACATATCAATCTAAATGAATATCTAACCGTCATTACAGAACGTGGTCTTAACGATGCATGTTTAGCAAACGAACAGTGTGCTGATGAGAATGCTGAATGTAAGGGCACTGGCAGTGAACGCATATGTTCATGTAGTGATGGCTATTTTGAGTCTGAAGGATTATGTACGTTGAGTAAGTAACGCTTCGCTGCCAATATATTAAGCTTGAATGAAACATGTTACACAGTTAGGCATTGGTTTAACCATTTTCAGATAAGACAAAATATCCTTTCCTGTATCTGTGATTTCTATTTACTACATCTAAAACACTGCACCTTTATCTACATTGGGCTGAGTTAACATATCAATCTAAATGAACAACTAACCTCTATTACAGAACGTGGTCTTAACGATGCATGTTTAGCAAACGAACAGTGTGCTGGTGAAGATGTTGAGTGTAAGGGCATTGGAAGTGAACGCATATGTTCATGTAGTGATGACTATTTTGAGTCTGAAGGAGTGTGCACGTTAAGTAAGTACCACTTCGCTGTCAATATATAAAGCACGAGGTGACTAAATAGTCTATATACGCTTTGGTGGATGGATATGGAAACTCAAACACTAAATCGAACATGCTTTCAGTAAGGCACTGGTTAAAACATTGTCAGATGAGACAAAACTTCCTTTCCTGCATATGTGATTTCTATTTACTACATCTAAAACACTGCACCTTTATCTACATTGGACTGAGTTTACATATCAATCTAAATGAACAACTAACCTCTATTACAGAACGTGGTCTTAACGATGCATGTTTAGCAAACGAACAGTGTGCTGATGAGTATGCTGAATGTAAAGGCACTGGCAGTGAACGCATATGTTCATGTAGTGATGACTATTTTGAGTCTGAAGGAGTATGTACGTTGAGTAAGTAAAACTTCGCTGCCAATATATTAAGCTTGAATGAAACATGCTGGACAGTTACGCATTTGTTGAACCATTGCCAGATAAGACAAAACTTCCTTTCCTGTATCTGTGATTTCTATTGACTACATCTAAAACACTGCACCTTTATCTACATTGGGCTGGGTTTACATATCAATCTAAATGAACAACTAACCTCTATTACAGAACGTGGTCTTAACGATGCATGTTTAGCAAACGAACAGTGTGCTGATGAGAATGCTGAATGTAAAGGCACTGGCAGTGAACGCATATGTTCATGTAGTGATGACTATTTTGAGTCTGAAGGAGTATGTACGTTGAGTAAGTAAAACTTCGCTGTCAATTCTTACAGTTAGGCATTGGTTTAACCATTGTCAGATAAAACAAAACTTCCTTTCCTGTATCTGCGATCATCTCTATTTACTACATCTAAATCACAGCACCTTATCTACATAAGGCTTTGGGTTAACATATCAATCTAAATGAATATCTAACCGTCATTACAGAACGTGGTCTTAACGATGCATGTTTAGCAAACGAACAGTGTGCTGATGAGAATGCTGAATGTAAGGGCACTGGAAGTGAACGCATTTGTTCATGTAGTGATGGCTATTTTGAGTCTGAAGGATTATGTACGTTGAGTAAGTAACGCTTCGCTGCCAATATATTAAGCTTGAATGAAACATGTTACACAGTTAGGCATTGGTTTAACCATTTTCAGATAAGACAAAATATCCTTTCCTGTATCTGTGATTTCTATTTACTACATCTAAAACACTGCACCTTTATCTACATTGGGCTGAGTTAACATATCAATCTAAATGAACAACTAACCTCTATTACAGAACGTGGTCTTAACGATGCATGTTTAGCAAACGAACAGTGTGCTGGTGAAAATGTTGAGTGTAAGGGCATTGGAAGTGAACGCATATGTTCATGTAGTGATGACTATTTTGAGTCTGAAGGAGTGTGCACGTTAAGTAAGTACCACTTCGCTGTCAATATATAAAGCACGAGGTGACTAAATAGTCTATATACCCTTTGTTGGATGGATATGGAAACTCAAACACTAAATCGAACATGCTTTCAGTAAGGCACTGGTTAAAACATTGTCAGATGAGACAAAACTTCCTTTCCTGCATATGTGATTTCTATTTACTACATCTAAAACGCTGCACCTTTATCTACATTGGGCTGAGTTTACATATCAATCTAAATGAACAACTAACCTCTATTACAGAACGTGGTCTTAACGATGCATGTTTAGCAAACGAACAGTGTGCTGATGAGAATGCTGAATGTAAAGGCACTGGAAGTGAACGCATATGTTCATGTAGTGATGACTATTTTGATTCCGAAGGAGTATGCACGTTGAGTGCGAGTGAGTAAACTTTTGTTGTAAATGTATAATAGCATGATTGAAAAAGTATCTAATTGCAATTCGGCCCCTATGTTAACACTATTAGATTATTCTTTTCTGTATCTGGTATCTTTATTTACTACATCTCAGACAATGAATGTTCATTGGCACGAGGCAAATTTGACTTACTGTGTCTGAATTAACAACTCTGACTTAGCAATCTCTATTCTAGAACGTGGCCTTAACGATGCATGTTTAGCAAACGAACAGTGTGCTGATGAGAATGCTGAATGTAAGGGCACTGGAAGTGAAAGCATATGTTCATGTAGTGATGACTATTTTGAGTCTGAAGGAGTGTGCACGTTAAGTAAGTAACATGTTGTTTATTCGGCATGTTTTAAACATTATTAAGTTTCGTTATGACTTCTGCTTCTCTATATCTGCCTCTGCCATCTCTATTTACTGCATCTTTTATTTTCATAAGCAATCAAATTTACAAAAACAGCCTTTTTAATACTCAAATGACTGGTTTACTAAATAACCGCAGAACTAAAAATAATTAAAATTAAACGATTGCAATGTATCTTTAAACACTCTTCAACTGACATCGTCTTTCACGGATATATCTTTGTCCTGATGTTAGAACTAGCTGTTGGCGAAACATGTGACAGAGGCGAGACTTGCATTGACCCGAATGCTGTGTGTTGGGCGTTTACATGTGTATGCAAAAGCACGTATGAGGACATCGGTGGTGTGTGCACCCCAGAAAGTATGTATCACCACATGGATCCATGGACAGCACAAATACATGTCTCGGGTTTTAGTATATCAAGTTGTTTGAATATAAATGTATGTATTGTGAATTATCATACAGCTGTATTTAATTGATTAACCTGTTCTGACTAATATTATTACAATCCACTGACTATTCTCCACAAAAAGGATCACTTTGATTCTAGTACGTAGTATACACACTTTGCACCCCCAAGTACAATAATAACCTTAGTATTAATTCTTTATTGTACCATGCTTACCTATGATTTGTGTATTACACTATGGCAGATATATCTAATATATAGAAATGCAAAATAGTTCAATTCTAACTGTTCACCGCAATTAAGTGTGATAAAAGGTCAACGACTAAACTACTTATACCGTACTTTGATACGATGACATATCTTGCAACTGAGCTATTCCTTCCACAATATATGACAGGAATACCAAATTCGAAACTGTTCTCTTGCCATTCATTGTTTAATTGTGTAGCAGGTTATACCTTCCTGTAGTTATATTATGGCTTCCATACATAATAAATTGATGCCATTCACTTGGCACCTTTTAATATGCACTTGTGCAACAGTGTGATGAATACACGATTCATTTCAGGTAGTAGTGTCGAGTGTGTTGGTTGACTGTGTAAATAATTCATCTACAGCTTGATCTGTGACATGTGGGGGTTGGGTAATAGAGTAATATTTAATATTCATTCCAGGTAGTTGTGTTTGGGGTGAATGGGTAAAGAATTCATCTACATCATGTTCTGTGACATGTGGGGGTGGAATAGTAGAAGAAACGTGGACAAGGAGATACGTTAATGAAGGGGGTGATTGTATTGGGGCCCAGGAAGACATGAGGAGCAGTGCGTGCAATATTGAATCGTGTCCTAGTAAGTATTTTAGAGGTGGTAGAATGTGTACATAATCTGAATAAACTAAAAGATTGTTGTACAAGGATTGACGAGTGTTGATCAAGCACACCCCGGAGTGGCACTGCCAATGTCTGCTACAGTGTCAAATTTTTGCATGCTTTTTTCAGTCGAGTGTGTATGGGGTGAATGGTCTAAAATCTCAACATCATCATGTTCAGTTACGTGTGGAGGTGGTACACAGCTCGAGACCTGGGAACGGAGGTACACGAATGAAGGGGAGGCGTGTAACGGAACTGAAACGGACAATAGAACTGCGGCGTGCAATGTAGAATCCTGTCCGGGTAAGACATGTGTATCCATAGCAAGGCTAAATATGTATCAACAAATTTTAACTGAATATTGCAAAATAGTGTCAAAAATATGATAAATTGCAGAGTTCTTTCATGCTTTTAATTTTCAGTCGAGTGTGTTTGGGGTGAATGGTCTAAACTTTCAACTTCATCATGTTCAGTTACGTGTGGAGGTGGAACACAACTTAAGACCTGGGAACGGAGGTACATTAATGAAGGGGAAGCGTGTAACGGAACTGAAACGGACAATAGAACTGCGGCGTGCAATGTAGAATCCTGTCCGGGTAAGATATATGTATTCATAGCAAGGCTAAATATGTATCCATAAATTTTAACTGTATATTGCAAAATGGTGTCAAAAATATAATAATATTCTCAGAGTTCGTTCATGCTTTTAATTTTCAGTCGAGTGTGTTTGGGGTGAATGGTCTAAAATCTCAACTGCACCATGTTCAGTAACGTGTGGAGGTGGTACACAACTTGAGACCTGGGAACGGAGGTATACGAATGAAGGGGAAGCGTGTAACGGAACTGAAACGGACAATAGAACTACGGCGTGCAATGTAGAATCCTGTCCGGGTAAGATATATGTATTCATAGCAAGACTAAATATGTATTCATAAATTTTAACTGAATATTGCAAAATGGTGTCAAAATATAATAGTATTCTCAAGAGTTCTTTCATGCTTTTAATTTTCAGTCGAGTGTGTTTGGGGTGAATGGTCTAAAATCTCAACTGCACCATGTTCAGTTACGTGTGGAGGTGGTACACAACTTGAGACCTGGGAACGGAGGTACACGAATGAAGGGGAAGCGTGTAACGGAACTGAAACGGACAATAGAACTGCGGCGTGCAATGTAGAATCCTGTCCAGGTAGGATATACTCTCCCCTCCATAAGTTTGGCAACCTTTTTTCCCCCATTGAACTACGTGTTAAAGCCTCTTTACCTTTGAATTTTTATTTACTTAACCTGCGATAAAAATACTTATACTATTGATGGAAACGTAATTTGACTTTAATTCCAATACCTCCAAATGTTCACAATTTTTTTCCTCAATTACAACAGGTCGAAAATTGATGATAAATTTGATGAATTTTTGAAAATCGACATTCCCATGTTAACCAATGGGAAATGGTAGGTTTGCCGCAAGTCATATGACAGAATATCCATCTATCCGAGTCCTTGCAAAAAATACGAGTTAGGCAGGCAATTGAATTTGCTAACTTTATTTAACAAAAAATTGATATGTTTCTTCAGGTTCAACAAAGTTATAGGGCTTTAAAGTCAAAATTGTTTTTCAAAAAACCTCTCCCATTGAAATAACACAGGAGGTGAAAAATTATTTTCAAAAATGACTTTGAAGCGCTGTAACTTTAATATTCATTAAATAAACCAAACACTTAATGTTCAAAAAAGTTAGACAATTCAATTTTCTATATAAAAATATTTTTTGCCGAATCTTTTACTGAAAAGATATCCTGATTTTTGATTTGCCCCAAACCCTCCATTTCCCATTGGATTACATGGGAATGACGATTTTCAAACATTCATCAAATTTATCATCAATTTTCGACCTATTGTAATTGAGGAAAAAAATTGAGAAAATTTGGAGGTATTGGAAATAAAGTCAAGTTACTTTTCCATCAATATTATAAGCTATTTCATCGCCGGTTAGGTAAATAAAAATTCAAACGTAAAGAGGCTTTTACACGTAGTTCAATGGGGGAAAAGGGTTGCCAAACTTATGGAGGGGAGTGTATGTATTCATAGCAAGACTAAATAATATGTATCCATAAATTTTAACTGTATATTGCAAAATGGTGTCAAAAATATAATAATATTCTCAAGAGTTCTTTCATGCTTTTAATTTTCAGTCGAGTGTGTTTGGGGTGAATGGTCTAAAATCTCAACTGCACCATGTTCAGTTACGTGTGGAGGTGGTACACAACTTGAGACCTGGGAACGGAGGTACATTAATGAAGGGGAAGCGTGTAACGGAACTGAAGAGGATAATAGAACTGCAGCGTGCAATGTAGAATCCTGTCCGGGTAAAAGATCTATATTTATAGCAATTTCTGGTTAAGACTATATATTAGATAACAAGAATCGATAATAAAACTGGTACTGCTTAAATATGCAGGCAATGTTTCTAAAGCATAACCATCATACTTTTCTTCATTTGCAGTCGAGTGTGTTTGGGGAGAATGGACTAAAATCGGAACTGCACCATGTTCAGTTACTTGTGGTGGCGGTACAGAACTGGAGGTCTGGCAAAGGAAATACATTAATGAAGTGGAAGCGTGTAACGGAACTGAGGAGGACACGCGGACTGCGGCGTGCAGTACAGAATCATGCCCAGGTAAGAGATACATATCCGTGGCCATACGTTTTGACCGGAAATGTGACCTATATTAAAGAATACTGATTATAGGGCTTGGTATCACATGTTCTCAATGCTTTTTCATTTGCAGTCGAGTGTGTTTGGGGTGAATGGTCTACAATTTCAACTGCATCATGTTCAGTTACGTGTGGAGGTGGTACACAGCTCGAGACCTGGGAACGGAGGTACATTAATGAAGGGGAAGCGTGTAACGGAACTGAGGAAGACACAAGGACTGCGACGTGCAATATAGAAACCTGTCCATGTGAGTGGGGAGAGTTTAGTGAATGGGAAGGCGGAAATTGCACTGAAGACTGTTTGATAATTGAACAAAGGACAAGAAACTACGGAGGGGGTGAAAATTGTCCAAGTGATACCGAAACTGAAACACGTACCGTGGAATGTACCAAGTCACCATGTAGAAGTAAGACAATGCAATTAGTGTTTTATAATAACAATGTGTTATCTCAGTCGTATCTCAAAGCTCTTTGTATATGTAATTTTATATGTTTTGTCTAAAAATTGAAAAGCCGCATGATCAATGTTCAATATTCTTTTCATTATCACTCCCATACACCCTTCATTCTTCCTTAAAGGGGTAAGTTGTGATTTCGAACCAAGCTCATCTTGTGGGTACACCGATGATAGTAACACTGGGAACGTTTGGCTAGCGAATAGAGGGACAACTCCAACTTCGTATACTGGACCAGATGCGGATCACACTTCGGGGGAATGTACGCATTGGCTTTCGTTTTCAGAGTGTCTCACTAAGTTTGTAGTATTTCATTTAATACACTCATGAATTATCAGAATCAGTTTTGTTGTGGGGTGCTTTCGTTTGTTTAGCGTATTGAATTAGGATTCATAGATACTACTATCCTTTGGTATCATTCAGTATTAATAATTATTTTTCAAGTTTTCTTTCTCATATTAGGAAGTATGTGTTTACCTTTCAGCTGATGGAACGTATATTTACATGGAAGGTAATGATATGCTATCTGGCGCAGCAATCAGAATAGCAACCCCCATATTTGAGAGTTATGGTACAAGTTGTTTATCATTCTGGTACCATATGAAAGGCTACTACATTGGTTCACTCAGTATCTATGTTGAGGATGAGGCAAGGTGAGAAATGATGAACAATGGCAGTAATTAGAAACGGTTAACATAACAACTTATCTCAATGTTCTTGGACAACTTACTTTTAACCTTTATTCATAAGTAGCATACACAAACAAAATCTGCACAAGTCTATGAAGTCAATGCTAAAACTCACTAAGCCCTTTAAAGTTTTAAATAGTTTAATTGTTTTTACTTGCATAATAAATTACATACGCGCATAGATTCTGGAGGGCCGAGGCTATAGGCATTATTACCCTCCCTCCCCCCTCTCCCCCCTCTCCCAGAGTCACAGAGGAACATAATATACATATGACACTGTGCTATACTGAATATGAAACCTTTCAATATCTTTAATTGATCCTTGTACTTACAGTTCCATGTTCTCCCTAGACCAAAAGGTATGGTCATCATTTGGTCATAGAGGCGTGTTATGGAATTATGCCTACATCGATATAGAGAACCGAAGTAGCTTCCGAGCTGTGTTTGAAGCCATACGTGGACCTGCTATTAACTCCGATATTGCAATTGACGATATCAACATTAAAGAAGGACCTTGTGAAGTAACAGATAATGGTAAGATTAAAAAATTACATAAAAGCAATTGGTGTCCCATCATTGGCCTTTATTTGCCCGATTGAACATGATGGTGGTGTTAGGGAAATTGTTGTTATGGGGTCATTTTAAACTCATTGAGAGAAGGACTTAAAATTATACGTTCACATTCAAAGACTGACAAAAATATGTTACTTTACTTCTCTTTTTGCACATTTTGCAATTTGCAAATATTTGATGTTGCAAAATTTGGACACCATTTAACATGAATTTCAGAAATCAATTAAGCATACTAAGATATTACCCAAGGATTGTACTTGTCATATTGTAAGAAGTTTACACGGTATTTACCAGTGAGAGAACAAGAACCTCGACATTTAAATAGTGAAAACATTGTATCTGTTTGAATTATAAATCACAAATAGTTCGAATTTTACAGTGACGATCGTACGCCTTTCCAATCGGTTCTCAACAAAATATGCATTTCATTAGTCCTGCACGAAACAAAAACTTCGTGAATACCAATATATTTTCATATCGGTATATCTGATCGGGCAATAAAGAACTGATTTTAATAACTTAATGGAGTATGATATCATTTCTAGATGTAACTTGTGACTTTGAGGACCAGTATTTGTGTGGGTATAGTCAAAGTCAAGAAGATACTCTGGAATGGTCCTGGGAAACCATAGCAACACCGACCAGTTCCACGGGATGCAGTAGTGACCATACAAACGGTATTTTTATCTTAATACATTTATGAATTTTTTCATTGTATTCAATCAGTCAATTGCGATCAGAATTGGCCTTGATATTACTGTGTTTTATGAACTAGACCACCTCTGGTAAGTCAATCTGAAATTACTCATGAATAGCGTTTACAAAGAACCTGTTCATATTCTTCAATTACTTCGGATCGGACATTTACGACTTTGATAAGTCCCAAAATATTTTATAATCCATAGAAGAGTCTCATAGAAATTACGTAAAGTCATAGACGTATGTGTAAGAAAGAAACTACAATAAAATGATTGCAAAATATGTAGTTCATTGAATCAAATTCTCATGAAATATGCAATAAACATAAATCTGTTTTCGACCAAAGGGGACGGCACTGGACATTTTCTCTATATCGAAGCAAGCGAGGTGCAAGCTGGTAGTCAGGCGGCACTTACAAGTCCTAAATCAGAATTAAGTCCCGGTGACAGGAAATGTCTCACGTGGTGGTATCACATGAATGGCGTCAATACTGGCGATTTACTGGTCAATGCAGATATTGCATCAAACAAGAGCACAATAGCAACGTGGTCAAGAAGTGGAGCACAGGGTAACACGTGGCTTCAAGGCGAATTGACAGTTGGCGCTGATGGTTCACTTGCTGTTACATTCAGTTTTTCTGCTACTAGAGGCTCTGGTGGCTCAAAGGGCGACATTTGCTTAGATGATATAGTGTTGAAGGATGGCCCATGTTGTAAGTCGGTTCAGTTACTAATTTTACTGTACTCTCTTTTTCGATGCTGACCTTTCATACGGGCATTGGGCCGATATTTGTTTTCGATTTTTGCTTGCAAATATGTTAGATTCGGAGAAATATATTGACTTCTACTTGTGTAAAGCCAGTAAAGCAACTGTCTGCCAAGGTTTTAAAGAAACTTATTGAAGTATACATATTGAGGTCTTGCCTAGTAGTATAAGAATGCCTCAAATCTTAAACTATTGCCTCACCTAGCCCCCGCATAATTTTAGATTCTGGCTCCGCCTCTGTATTCGATCATTTACATTCACTTTTAGCAAAAGAGGAGTGTATTTGGGGTGCATGGTCCAAAAACTCAACGTCATCGTGCTCTGTGACATGTGGAGGAGGTATATTAGAGGAAACTTGGCAAAGAACCTCCACTTCGGGAGGGCCATGTAGTGAAACTGATATTGAAATAAGAACCATAGCCTGCAGTGAAGAGCCCTGTGAAATTGGTGATTTGATTTATCTTACAAACACAATCTCATTTAGTCCAATGACATATTGTGCCAAAAAATGAAGATAGATCATTTAATATAATGAAAATTAAAGTATGCAACGAGACCAATGCACTCATTTGAAGCTGAAACAAGACTTTATATATATTATAATATAGCTTTTATTTCAATTTTACATTGCTACACTATTCACTACAGTCGCTAGAGTCGCAATAAATGTTCTTTTGAGTGTTTGAATGATGAACAAAATCAACTGTTTTTAAAATTCTTAACCAACAAAGAGATTCGACTCAGTACCAGTTATTGGATCGATGTACCTTATCTGAATAATATTCATGTTGCATTATAGATTGCGCATGGGGAGAGTTCAGTGAATGGGAAGGGGGCAATTGTACTGAAGACTGTAAGATAGTGGAACAAAGGATCAGATATTATGGCGGAGATGCAGAGTGTCCAGCTGATAACGAAACTGAAACGCGTACCGTGGAATGCACCAAGTCACCCTGTAGACGTAAGACCTTGAAAATAATATTTTGAAGAGATTAATTTGAGCATATGTACTAATGATTTATGAGAGATTTAAAGCACTGGGGTTTTTCCTTGTAACCCTGAAGCCAAGGCCTTCAGGCCTATCTTTAGGTTAGCAAACAAAATATTCATGTAGTATAATTTACACACATCCACAATGTTAAAGCATTTAAATACAACAAGAAATGATAAGATTCTAGCCCTCAAACTATGAACATTTTTTCTTGCATAATATGAATCAAATGCTTGATTAATCAACGATGTAATAGTAACTGTAATTTGCTTTGTAAATTACCAAAGCAATTGGCAATACGTGACACGATGACAATAGGATAGTTTCTAAATAGCAGAAAAACCAATGAAATCCAGTGCTGCCATCTTTTATTAAGCTTTTAACTTGGGCTAGAGTTCCATTCACTTACATTCTAAAATCTTGGAAAAGTGGCTTAATTTCATGGTTTATCAAAGTGTGTTAGTTGAATCTGTAAAAAACTTGAGTGATATACCACATGATGACCCTTTTATGTACATGTTGTGATTAAACATTTTACTTAGCTTTGATCAATTCGTTTCCAAAGTAATAGGTGTTTGACAGTTAGCTCATGGAAGCCAAAAATGTAGCTCTCAAATAAACTTGATTTTACTGCTACAGATGGATAATTTGGAGTTTTAATCTATATATATATCTGTGTGAAGTTATCAGGAACATGATGGACTAATTCGACTAATTCGGTGTCTTTTCATGTCATCGTAAAACACTGTATTTGAAACATTTGAAATAAAGTGAATTGAATTGAAAAAAAACAAACAAAAACATGCAAATGTTATTTGACATACAAATAACCCAAGGTTTCAAAGAATTCTAGCATTGCATCTATGGACATTTGGCCCAAGTTTTTTTAAATTGTCATAGAAAATTATTCAAATTACATAACTGTGTAAATCAAAGCTATTGTAGGAGAAAACAATTCACTGAATTCAAATATGCCATTTAAAAGAAGGTAAAGTAAGTCATTAGAGGTCTAATTTGCAAGTCTCTTAAAATCTCACGAAAAACGAGATTTAGTGAGATTTCAAAAGCTATATAGAAACTATGCTATTGTATTATTGTACAATTCAATTGAATATGTACCACACTAAACCTTAAAACTATACATCTACATGTATCTATAGGTATCAGCTGTGATTTCCAATCAATCTCCGCATGTAGCTTTTCGAATGACATCTCCACCGGATACTTGTGGAGGGAGGGCAACGGGCAAACAGCAACTAGTTTTACAGGACCAGATTCTGATCACACAACTGGCCAAGGTAATTGTTCTGGTTATTCGAATCGATGCAAAATATAGATATAGTTTGGAACAAAATAAATGACAGGTGGATTTTCTATCACCATATCCAAACCATGGTGTTTTGAAAGCCCTATAGTCTAAAATATTGTCTAAATACATATCCCTTAACATTTGTATATATTACATTTTTATATACTCTCATCCACTTATGAATGACCTCTTTAAATTTCTCTTATTTTTAACATGGGGAATCCACACTTCAGCAAATCTATGTGTCGTTATTTTTGTTCCAAACTCACGGTGTTATAGCATGACGGTTACGTCAAGGCGATTTGCAAAATGTTGCGGTAACGATAACAAAAAATGGCGGATAGGAAAGACAGCATGTCCTCTTTCTCGCCTGTAGGCAATATTCACAGATAAGATTTTCTTTTTAACTAGTTCCATTCGGTGACGTACACTCCCCTCCATAAGTTTGGCAACCTTTTTCCCCCATTGAACTACGTGTTAAAGCCTCTTTACCTTTGAATTTTTATTTACTTAACCTGCGATGAAAATACTTATACTATTGATGGAAAAAAAGATAAGATTTGTATTGTCTTCAATTTCATGGATTCATCTTCTAAATGAGACATATTATGTATCTTTTTAATTTAAAAAGAGGGAACATTTTGAAAACACTTTCATTTGCATCATGTTAGCGCAGACCTTGAAATTTCATCACTTGGTTTCATGAAACCAATTACATAATCTGTACATTGAAACTGTACAATGATGATGACATAGATTTTAGCACAATATATACATATAGACCACATAGCCAAATAAAACTTTGAAATAAACAAATAAGCATTTTCCAAGGTTTTACCAAATCTAGTTCTATAAGCCAAACACCGATCGTTTTCTAATTTATGCTGGGTTTCCAGAAAGTGGGAAATACATTTACCTGGAAGCGTCAGATGTGCCGAGAGAGGGAGAGGTGCGGATATCCACTCCAGTGTTCGAGAGTTATGGAGAGTCTTGTGTGACATTCTGGTATCACATGAAAGGGTACTACATGGGGACCGTCAATGTTTACGTTGAGGACGAGTCAAGGTGACAACATATTGCTGTTCAATAAGATATTACAGCTTATTCTATACGATAGAGTATTATGGACACAACCGACAATGTCAAAGACATAGTATATCGCCCCAAATATTAAATAAAACCAGACATTATTAGAGAAGGCTAAATTACCGAAGATCACAACTACGGATAAATAATGAAGATAATCTGTGAATGTGTGTATACCCTATAAGATGTGACGTATATCTTCATATCATATTTTCTTACAGCTCAGTGTTCTCACTGGATGAAAAGGTTTGGTCATCATTTGGTCACAGAGGTCTTCTATGGAACTTTGCTTACATCGATATTCCAAACCGAAGCACTTTTAGAATCGTCTTTGAAGGTGTGAGAGGCAGTGCTTCAAATTCTGATGCCGCCATTGATGATGTACTGATCAGAGAAGGCCCGTGTACAGTTGCAGGTTTAGGTAAAGCATCTTAGGATATTTTGCTACAAAATAACATATCTTAATCACCTAGATATAAGAATGCATACAAGTAGAACAAGCCACAAAAACTCAAAGTAAATCATCTTCCAATGAAGCCTCCTAAATTATGTTAAATGATTTCAAATTGTTAATAACCTGTAATATATTTTTGAAGAGGCGATCATTGGAAAAATGCATATAACATATGTATAATACCTAAGTACTGTAATACAACCGTCCCTCAATCGCCACATCTCCGTACTGTAGCAGTTCGTCCGGTGCTTACCCTGGCACGATTGCACTGAACGAGTTATTCAATTGCAAAGATTACAGGATCGAAAGAAACAAATAAGACTCTTTACTCATAAACCAATTGTTATGTCATGCCGTATAAAACCTTAATCTTCAATTGAATGGTATTGCATGCTTCCTATTTAAGGTGTGTCTTGTGACTTTGAGGACCAGTATTTATGTGGGTATAGTCAAAGTCAAGAAGATACTCTGGAATGGTCCTGGGAAACCATAGCAACACCGACCACTTCCACGGGATGCAGTAGTGATCATACAAACGGTACGTAAACTAAGTTAGCCCCGAAAAATGATTTCGGCATATTTTTCGTAATTTACGATATGACTTTTATGTGGAAACAATCTTTGACGTCGTCTGTAATCAGCCACGCTAATTATAACTGAAGCTAGACAATGATACATATCGAACAATACATGTATATGTTACACAAAACATGATGATAATATTGTGATTTTCAGGTGACGGGACAGGCCATTATCTTTACATTGAAGCAAGCAACATACAAGCGGGGAGAAGAGCTGAACTTACAAGTGCTTTATCAGAATTTAATCCCGGTGACAAGAAATGTCTCACGTGGTGGTATCACATGAATGGCGTCAATACTGGCGATTTACTGGTCAATGCAGATATTGCATCAAACAAGAGCACCATAGCAACTTGGTCAAGAAGTGGAGCACAGGGTAACACGTGGCTTCAAGGCGAATTGACAGTTAGCCCTGGAGTTGATGTTACATTCAGCTTTTCTGCTACAAGGGGCTCTGGGGGCTCAAAAGGCGATATATGTTTAGACGATATATTATTAACGGATGGGGAGTGCTGAATGTTTTTACACGATTGTTGTTATGTTAAGTTATGAGCCGTCTAAGTTTTAGTTGATTAACATGTGCCTAAGTTAATCTTACTTGCGAATTGAAGATGTCTGTAATATCAACTTGTTAGTTGATCTAATAAGTGAGTAGTAAATGAACTTGTTAGTTGATCTAACGCATGGGTTGATCTAATAACCGATCTTATGTGTGTACAGATCCTACACGTGGGGGCTATTCCAATTGCTGTTTGTACATTCCAAGCATTATTTTCATATTTGGTGGTGTAAATGGTTCTAGTTAAATATAATAATTATGTTTTTGGACTATTTTGTGTCAGTTTTGGACCATGACTCAATATGCACTTAATGTGGTCTACCTATTATTAATGATATTATTAATGATGTGTTTTTTCTATTTTTCATAATTGTTATACGCAGTAATATGTATATAAAGGTAATAAATTCTACCTACCTGCAAACAAAAGTTCTTATTTTTGATATGTATATTGCAAAGTATCTCGTAGAATTAATTGATGATTAGGTATTAGCCCAATTGGTTTTGTGAAACCCTTTGATCAGAACATGTAAAGAGTAATGTAAAGAAACATCGGTCCAAAATATTTTACACTTTTGGAGTTAGTCCGCTTACCCTACTATCACACCAAACTAGTTCTCACTACGTTCTCGAAAACGGGCTTCAACTGTGTACGAACGGACTGGACGTACTTAGAACCGTTTGGAGTCTATTTAAAAACTTCATCGAACGTACTCGAACGGGTATGTCCTCTAGAACTTAGAACATGCTCGAAATGTTCTCGTGGTCGTCACGTTCTACAATTAAAACGAGTGACAACGTACTAACGACGAGCTGGACGTACTACGAACGGAACCGTCGTACTTCAATCCTACTAGGGACGTTTTTACAACGAGTTGAACTGTCTGAGGACGTATTGAGAACGAGGTAGAACTAATTGCAAACGGGTTTAAACTGACTAAGAACGTATTAAAGACTGCTTATGAACGAGTTAGCAAAAATGTAGCTATCACACCAAACAAGTTGCCACTGCGTTCTTCAAAACTGGTTTTAAACTGTGTGCGAACGGAATGAACGTAGCTGCAACTTTCTAAGGTCTATTTACGAACTTCATGAACGTTCTTAGACGGGAAGGTGATTTTAGAATTTTGAATCGATTCAAAATTCGATGGCGACCATACCGTTCTGTAATCAGGTCATGATGACCTTCTAGACTAAGGGATGCGTTATACGACGTACACCGATCGTGGTACGACCTGAACGAACTGCGAATGAGATGGACGTATTGCAGACTGTTTATAGACGAAGTACCTAATTATTTTACACATATTTCCCGACCACAGCCAGATTGAGCCCGTTTAACGACGTTTTCGTAGGACTGGCAAGAACGGGTAAGAACTAGTTTGGTGTGATAGGGGGGTTAGACGGTTAGATATTGATACAATGACACCACTGTAGGTTTTTTAAGACAACGTTAGCTACCTTAAATTAAGACAGAACGCTAGCTACATTGAACCATAAAGGTCCCATATAAAGTTTAAACTACTTGGACTTACATTATATTCTTATCCAATGTTGGTATGTGAACCTTAATGTTTTATTAAGTGTTGGATTTGATGACGTTTGTTTCTAAAATTGCGGAAAATATTTGAATTTCATAAGGCATTTTTCAAAAAATGTCTCAATTAGTGTTTGGTCATGGATATGTAATATTTGAAAGACAATGAACCTCAAGACAGACTTTGTTCTATCCAAATCAATTGCCTCTCTGATCAAACCATTTCTTACTCTATACGTTTATTCATCTTCTTTCATTTGGCTGACCAGATGCATTTGTAGAACAACCGACGGAATCGTAGTCAGGCCAGATCCCTCTTTCTCAAAAACTTCTGCTTAACAGTCAAATAATCTTTATTGCCCTCGATGACACTTAAGATTGCCTTAGACAAAACATGTGTTTCTTGGCACATGTTATTTCTCCTAAATAATGAGTAGCATTAAAATAGATAAATATTATTGTTACATACTTGTAAATATAACAGATTGTGTTACGGATTAAACAATGACGTTTGTTGTTAAAATGTCATATATTTTGACATTTGCGTGGTGTTATCTATAATTACAATTTCCCACTCCCAAGAAGATAAAAATAAATCAGATACTACACGAATGTTACTTGAATAGAATACGCTTTAGGCGAATGGAGACATTTGGGTTCTACTGGAAACAATTACAAAAACTTCAAAAATGTGGAATTTAGTTGAGGAAACTATGGTGACAATAGACAAGATTAGAAGACCAAGTCTCACAAAGCCTCTCGAGGAGAGCAATGGGGTATGTGTTAAAACTGAACTTATAATGTTATATGAGTGAAGTTATTTTGATACATCTTCACATGGAAAGTTTCCACTTTTGTGAAGAGCCTTCTTGAATTGTCCTATAATGATAATGTAATTTTCTTTGATGACTATAATATTGAAGCTTGGACTGCTTTTTAAATGCCCGCGGCGCAAGTCATTTGCGTAATATTTATATGAGTTATCTCCCCTGGTATGACGAAAAAATCAATAGGCCCCGCGGAGCGAATAATATGGTCACACTCTTTCAGCAAAATCAGCTCATCCAAGCGAACCGACACACGCATAATTATTTTGAAAGACATCACGGTTTATTGCAGTGGAACTCCTGCTTGCACTAGCAACGAGCCGACGCAGTTGACACACTTGGTAAGCCGACAAGGTTGCCACGGAGTAATTAGCGGTTGGATGAGCTGTTCTTGCTTAAAAGGTGTGAGCATGTGATTTGAAAAGCAGGAGCTCTTTGTTCTTTTTCAGGATACCGAGGGGGAAACGTCTTAAATATTATGCTATATACTTGCGCAACCTTAGTGTTTTAAACTTTACATCGGGCTTTTAACAACAGTAGATACGAAAGGTCTGTTAATCTACAGGTTTGAACGTATCGTGAATGTGTATAATTATGGTATCTCCTGGGTGATTTTGTGTTTCCTTCGTAGTATTTACCGACCCAATAGATGAGATGCAAGTAGAAATAATCTTGATTTACACGTCATTATACATATTATGTATATTCAAAATTCAGTCAAAGTGATGTCATATTTGAAATCTACATGTAAAAGTTCATCTAGAAACATGATTTCGAAAAATGTCAACTTTGAAAATTAATTTTTTTTTTGAAAATGTGACTTTTAGTTCGGGTTGATTCCCCATAGACACCATGTTAGAAAATCACAAAAAGTGAAATATATTTTCTTGTATTGGACAGACAACATTTTTTTACTGGACATATTTTAAGTTGCATAACTATCGGATACATAGGGGTTATATGAAAATTGAACCACTAAAACAAATGAAATTTAAGTTAAATGGAACTTTCTACAATACGCGCCATGCTATCTGACCGGAACAAGCCACTGGGTGGTGAAACTGGTAACTACATACTCGCATCTGCGTTATTGAGTTTGAACGAATGAACGATTTATTTGTAATTATGTCACTGGAAAGGTGACAACAATCCCCGGGGTCATTATATCATACGTTCGCGTATAACTTCTCTTAAAACGTGTAGCTCAACCCATAAATAGACAGGTTAGCCAATCTTGAATATTTTTCCAAGAGGTGTTGTACCAAATGCTCATCGTGTTCTAGGGTACTTGTGCACTCATCAGTATTTGATTCCTGCATCGTAACTGTCTAAATCATACACAGATAGCCTTACACATTATTTAGTCTGACCTGGTTTATATTTTACGACTTTTGTCAATTTATGGCAAATGTATTGAAATATGTATTCATTGTTTTGTCTTGATAACGCTTAATGACTGTCAAGTAATTTGAAATATACGCATGCGCATTTGTAAATCGTTTTGAATAAAAAAGCAAGGAGGATTGGCTCCAAAACTCGATATTTTCCAACAATGAAAACGTCGAAATATCGTTACTTTCTGAAATTATAACCGCCATAAATTAAAAATAAACAGTCCAAAAGATTTGAACCAATATCTCGATCATCATGTCTTGTGAGTTTTGGAGTTTTTCGTTTGAATGGTGAATTTTGGTCTTATTTCCAAGAATTTTGCATTTCCAAGAAATAAGACCAAAATTCACAGTTCAAATGTTGAAGTGAACAAAATGGTGGTTGTTTGAATTCGAATTTTGTAATCACGATATGGCCATAAATTTATTATATGGTAAAAATATAGATGTTGCACTCTGGGAGCCCTGGGCTCTCGGGGTTCAAACTCAATATTCGTGGGCAATATAAATAAAGCGGCGGTCTTATTTTATAAACAGCCTATGAAAAAGGATGCTTCTGTCGTAAGGAATATTATTTCACAATAAGATAAACAAAATATGAATTTGAACACCACAATTACCTGTTCCGCTCTTACATGAACCTTTGAGAATATTTCGTGATTAGGTGAGCATAGCAAAAGAACCGAACTACGGCTTCTCTCATCCTCTTGCGTTGAATCATGGAGGTACATATAATACTCTCGATATTATAACCGATTCATGGTTCAAGTGTTTCTCATTTTTATTTGTCTTCATATATTTTGATCAAAATTATTATAACCGATTCATGGTTCAAGTGTTTCTCATTTTTATTTGTCTTCATATATTTTGATCAAAATAAATCAATTTTGAAATGATTATATTCTAGGAACCTTCTGTCAAACCATCCGAGGTTTGTGTTCTTGTGCCAAATAACCATGATGTTAAAATAAAAAGGAGCAGACGCATGCGTAGTAATGATATCAAACGCAGTAAAGTATTCAGCTGTTTGATTACGTCACTTATCATCTGTGTGTTGATTCTAGGATTATGTCTGTTTGGTAAGAAATACTTAATAATTAATAAATAATTAATACGAGGATTATGTTTGAAATGTAAATGTGACTTGTAAATACAAGAACATAGGGACAATTCTCATACAGTATACGGTCCACATTATCATTTGGTCTTATAATTGTGCCATAACGTAGTTTTTACTTGTTCTTGAATATTTCACAAACAAACATTCAATTGCCAATATTTCTGTTTTCAGCTTGGTTTCTACTAAGAGAACAGCAAACAAGTAAGTGTTTTCATATTATCAAATATAAAAGTTGATAACAGGAATAACAGCTACAGTGTGAACCATATAATAAAAGTATCTTTATTTCAGGAAAATGGAATAGCAATATGATTGGCATTAGTCTAAGAAAATAACATATACAACATTCTTCCAACCATGAACAAAGACATTGTTTTCGTATATCATTAGATTAATATTCATGTTTTCCAGACGAAGCTGCTTCTATTGCAGACAACAATTTAATCGGAAATGAAAGTAAGCGTTCTGTCGGATTACAATTATTGAGTTCAAATTAAAAACTTTTTATATTTATTTTATTTATTTATTGGAAACGCTTTTAACACAGCGGAACACAAATACAGTGTAAATTTTTTTTGCAGACATTTGACAGCACAATATTTGACAATAAATATTTCATTATTTATTAGTTTTGAAAACCATTAGATGTTCTTGATGGAAGTCAAGATACACGTTATTGATGTTCATAGCATTATGCATTATATCTGGGAATAGTATACTGAATTTATTCAAAGATAATATCAATTCTGTTAAGATGGAGGATATGGCCCATGGAAGGTGGCGACGTCATGTTCTGTGACGTGTGGTGAGGGCACTAGAACTATGAAAAGAGAGTGTTTGCAAAGGAATCGTAATTGTACGGGATCGCACACTCAGAATGTTTTCTGTGTAGATCAACCAATTTGCGTGGGTAAGAAGTAATTTATCAGTCCTAGAGTTAGGGATATTTAGCTATAGAGTAATGTTTAATTTCTTGTCCGCTATGTGGGGTTGTCCGCTATTGTACAGTAGGTCGGGTTCAATTATGAAATTCACATCCCCCATAGGGGACAAGAAAATATAACATTATTTTTGTCACAAAAATAGGACCAGAGTATGAACGCCAACGCAATTTTCAATAGCTTTTACTCCAAGCGTTATTAAAATAGAAGTGAAGGTTATCACAAATGATACACACGTTGCATGTCGTAAATTATTTCTTTGATTTATAGGGAGCATCTGAGTTAAAAAATAAATTGTGAGCTTTTCTTAGTATTATAACGTAATATAGCGTAATCCCTTCATTGGACTTTTGCGATCTCACCCCGTGAAAAAGAAACAAACATTTATTAACACAGTACCAAGGGTACCCATTTGAACCCATAAACTCCACCATGTTCATAATATTCAAAACGATACAATATACATGTATGATTGATTGTGAATGGATAACATGTAAATTTCAGTTAATGGTAGTTGGGGCTCTTGGAGTAATTGGGTTGCATGCACCAAGACATGTGGCGCGGGTATTATGAGCCGGTTCAGGTATCGTGACAGTCCTCGCCCCAGTGGCGCGGGTGCCATGTCATGTGGATCTTCAGCCTCGCAGTATAGCACATGTTCAAACCAAAATTGTGACACGATTGCACAAATTAATATTTCTTCGGTAGGTACTATAGAATCAGACGGCAGTTCTGGATTTGATGAATATCTAGGAGATAAGCAAACTGCAGGATTTTTCCTCGATGTAGATAAATCGACGGACATTTTTAATTCCATAATTGAACGCACAGATCAAAATCCGAAAGAGTCAATTCCTGAAAGGATTGAAGCTTCCACGCCAGTTTCCCCTCCTTCCATTTACCACAAGATCATTTCAACGACACCATCTTCTTTGCATTCAGTATCACTTAGTCCATTGTCTTCCTCTTCTTTACTTGCTGATATATCTTCTAAAAAGGTTGGGCATGAGTTTGGATCACGCTTTGACATTACTTCAACAAAATCTGAAGTCTCTCAGAATTTTGATATAATTTCTACGAAGCGAAGACCGCCATCCTCTCCCGATCAAGGTATTGCATCCACAAAACCGGAAATCTCTACTGAAGCGAGTATAATTTCTGCAATCACTTCTGTGGACATTTTATCAACGGAAACGTTCTCTCTGAACACAGTTAACCCCTCGTACACGTCAAAATCTACCACATCGACATTAAGTCTACCTGATATTTCTCCAGTGGAAGACCCAATCAATCTTTCCAGACACGGAGCGTCCTCTCAACATACTCCATCAACAATATCACCCTCTTCGATGATTCAGTCCACAATTACTGACATTTCGATTTCACCAATAGAGATTACAGGATCAGTTCAGTCATCAGGAGAATATATCAACAAGGCACACACTGACTGCCATTGGACTGAATTCTCTGAATGGAGAGTTGAACTCTGTTCAAGGTTCTGCGGAGGTGGAGTCGGTGAAGAACGGAGGACCAGGTATAGCGTTGGACATAGTGATTGCCGAGTCAGGGAAACGCAGAGTAGGACAGTGGCTTGCAGTACAAGATCATGCAACCGTAGGTGAAGTTATATATCTTTGTGAATCATTTAAGGAAATTTGAAGAACATGCAGTAAATACAAAATAGAATTGCACTAAATTAATTCTAGTAAAACCAACATTGAAGACGAAGAAGAAGCTTATAAACGCGAATGCTTATTTTATCTACACACTTACCCTACAACTATATTTTGTTGACAGGTGTATTTTGTGATTTTGACACACAACCTCTTTGTGGATATGTAAATGACAATACGACTGGGTTGCTATGGAAACAGTCTGGTGGATCCACTCCTACCACCCACACTGGACCTGGCGCTGACCACACTTCTGGACTTGGTTAGTGGTTACTATAAAAACACAATGATTTATAAATGTCTGTTTCACAGCTTACTTTTCAAAAATAGTATGCGAAGAATTAGGTAAGGTAAGGTTGATCAAAAAAAATTTTGTTCTCTTTCAGAAGGTAAATATATTTACATGGAAGCATCTGGTACGCCATCTGGTGGAATGTTCCGTATTTCTACTCCGGTGTTTGAGAGCTACGGAGAATCGTGTTTATCTTTCTGGTACCATATGAAAGGCTTCTACATGGGGACAATTAATGTGTATGTCGAACACAGCTCAAGGTGAGTACATGGTGGGTAAACTGATATTGCACCCTGGCAAAGACCATCTTTATATAATATATTTCACCGGGAATATTACTCATGTCAAGTGAGTGTATTCGCTCCATGGTTATGAAACGAAATTAAATATGTTCTTACTAGAATGTTTAAGGTACATCCGTGTAAAAAGTCTAACATTATGTAGTTTAGCAGAGATCGAATATTTACGAACGTATACAGTAATATTTTATTTTAGGAAGAAAGCAAATAAACTTATTTCAGTTTCTTAAACAAATAAGCACTATATCTCGCTTGCATTTTTTGAGTCACGATATAAGTGATAATAATGTCATCTGTGTGTCCTCATAGATATATGGTCTGAAAATCAATCAATTAACCCCGATCCCTTCAGAGTGAATAAAGCAATTTGAAAGTACATGGATACAATAGAGATGTCACGACATTCAATTATCTCATGTGATCAACAATAGACTAATATTTGAAGCGGCATGCAAAGCCGCTTTGCACGCCGCTTTCAAGCGCTATCAAAGCACCGTTGGTGTGAACTTAGCTTTATATACAGTTCATATATCCTCCAAATATGAACAAAAACGATCCACGATGTCGCTTTAAAGCCAACGGCCTTTGCACGCTGCTTTAAAGCGCTATCAAAGCGCCGTTGGAGTGAACTTAGCTTCATATACAGTTCATATTTCCTCCAAATATGAACAAAAACGATCCACGATTGCACTTTTAAGCGCTATCAAAGCGCCGTTGGTCACTGAAAACGGCTAAAGTGTGAAATAAATTTTGTTAAAAATTCAAAAAAGCATTAAAATGATTTTTTCAAATATACATGTAGTATGTATCTATATTCATTTATACACACGTCACCGAAAGCATTGAAGTAAACTCCAAGGAACAATAGGTGGAATTTCAAATTGAAATTAGGGCCCGTCTCAAACGTGACGATTTTCACATTTCAAGTCCGTGATTCATATGCCAATATATTCACATTAGAATGCAATATTTTCAAAAAACCAAGGACTTTCCTCATGCTACTCTACTGTCCTTTAAAATCATAAATGAATTTGGACTACAAGTATTTTCCTTTTGATGTCCATCACTTGTCGACATGAAACATCTGAATCCATGATTTTTCTCGACTTTTTTCATACGTTGTGTTTTTAATTTGAGGAAAATTGAAAGGGGTCGACACTATAAGAACATGAATCGATTCGGTCATGAAAAATGATGCTTTAGACGAATAGAAAATGATAAAAAAAATTATTTGGGGAGCATTGATCATTAGGCTGAATCAACATTTTTCCGCGTGTCGTTTTTCACAAGAAAATTGGAAACAAATGACAATGAGTTATATGTTCACTTAAGGGAAGTTTTAATTCACGATTTGGCATTTTTGATGACTATAGCTAGCTGAATTGAGAAACAAGTTTGTATTTGTGTCTTATATTTTCACCTTTATGTTTAATTTTCCGTCAAACTCGACATAAAGCATGAATAGCAGTCGTGCCGTGTTTCACTATCTCCAAGGAAAAAGCAGTTACGCATAAGCTTACATGTTACATAATGTGGACTCATATGCAATCATAGTTTATACCATACTATGTACTGACACACATTTTCTATTTTCAATAATTAAGTGCAAACCACATTATTTATCTTTTTTAAATCAACTTCTCCAAAACTCACTGATTCAAGAAACCAGTTCTTTTTACATTTTACATCGATGGTGCAAATGCCAGGTCGTCAAGCACCCATCACCCTAGTTCCCGTTTAATCTCTTATAGTGTATAAGGTAAGACGCTTTGATTTGTTTTTACAATTTGAGAAACTTTTACTATGGATGTAGACCAATTGCAGGGTGACGTAGTGAAGTCTTCCCTGCATGCACCGCAAACAGCAGAACAACCGTACATGTTCATTCCAAATGACATTAACGGCATTCAATCATGTATCAGAAAAGTCAGTTTTAAAGATTTCAAATTTAAAGAGAGACATTTTCATTTAAAATATTTTAACAGTATCTCTACTTGATTGTCTGTTATCATTTGAAAGATATAAGAATGATATTTCTGACTTATTTAAGTCTGACGAAGCCAAAGGATAAAAACCATCTGCACTGTGAATATGAAATTTTCTTTTAGTCTGTGGTGCGCTTCATCGATGTCCCGATCTCATCACACTTTTTGGACATTTTTCATGGCCACCGAAAACGTTCTTATAGTTATGTTTTGCTTCATTCGAGCTGAGTTAAGTCGCCAGAACGAATTATTTTTGTCAGACTCGATACTTTTTCAACGGTTTCTGATATCACATCACAAAACTCTCAGCATAAACTCAATTCTTTCCTGTGATTTTCAGTTTTTCTTTGAAGTTCTGCTGGAAGTTTAATTTTCGGTGCAATGGGTTACCCCGGTTTTGCTTTGGAGAGAACTTTGAAAAATTAATCTCGCTTTGTTGGCTCCATTCTCGAAGCGTGTATTTTGTGTTTCTGATTTCTTTTTGCTAGTCGGTTGGCGATATATTTCAAAGAGGAGTGTATTTTTGAATTGCTTGCCTTACATTTTCTTAAATATTCTCGGGCATTGCTTAGTTTTTGCTTTTCTCTGTCTCTTTTCCAACGAATTGCGTTTCGATAAGGCATATTGAATATTACAGATCATATACAGATCGTGCAAATGGAATTCAAAAGGAAATAATAATTAATTATAACACAAAAACATCGTTGAAAAGCTTTAATCGTTCATATTACTTAATTAGAGTTTTCGGTTTATGCTTTCCTCCATTAATAATAATTGCATTAATTGAAAAGAAAACAGAATGCAAACATTAAGGGACTTTATGATTGATTTCAGCGATCCCCGGGAATACACTGAACGAAACGTTATTTACTAAGGGTCAACTATTTTTGGCTTTAATGGTCTTCATATAACATTTTTTGTTATGAATTTTCCGATAAATTATGCTTATGGAATATCTAAATAACTTGTCATTTGCTTGCATGTAACGTATTATTGTAAAGACGTATAAATTGTAAAAAGCACATTTACAAAAGGGCAAATTCGTTTAGCTGTTATCGTTTCCTTGTCTATGAGTTGATCTTTGTGCGCTATTACTAAATAACTGTTAAACATGTGTTATAAGAATATGGACAATTATACAAAATTAAACTAATCCATCTGGGATTTATAAAAAATGGCTAATTACTGCTTTGAGTTCAATGCTATAACCGTGACGTTTTTCACACGTGACGTTTGTCACAGTTTCGCACAATATCAGTTCATAGATGCGGTAATGCTGGTTATTTCGAAAATCCTCTTTTGTTATAATGGAGTGGACATATTGTTTTCTTGGAAATTGCCCCATTTCCATCCAAGACTACTGTCAATATATGAGTAACATCACGGTCGTTTTTCACAAGCAAAACTGTGAATTTTCAGAATTTTTCAGATCATGCTCATTATAATTCCACCACAACTATTATCACGATTTGTGACACGATAGTCTGATAAACTGAACTAAAGACTTGATAACCAAAGATAATTTATTTATCTCGAGTTTCCCTACTGCCGTCTGGGCTCGTTTTAACGACCGTGACGTTTTTCACAGAATAAATTTTACACTTACTATAATGGGTTTATATAATCGGTCGTAGGTGAGAAGCAAATAAACTGCTGTCATCACACTCTGATTGAATGTTTTCTATGCCAACAGAACCAAAATGAAAAGATCCGACCATTTATAACTGAGATATGACATGTTTTCACAGGCGTGATGTCCCGTTTCATCAACAAATTCACGAAATTCACAACTTATTCGCGAGTTATCAAAGTTATTTACAACCGGAATGATCAATAAGTATGCTGACCGAATTTAGATAAAGGCATTTTATTTTAAAATACATAAAACAATGAGAAAAAATCATTTTTGTTTCGGCTATTTTTAATTACATGAAATATACCCATTTTTAACATCTATTGGTTTTGAATGTGGTGTGAACTTAGCTTAAGCATAAGACTACAGTTATATTAGGCTATATACGTTTTACTTTCCAACCTGTCATCTATGCTGTATTTTATCTCTGAAAAGATGTCCTAATTCTGAGGACAATTTTGCTCGCCTTCCTTTTCCAGACCGATGTTTTCGATGGATCACAAGATATGGAGTACATTTGGCCACAGAGGATCATTGTGGAACTTTGCCTACATGAATATACCGAACAAAAACTTCCGAGTGGTATTTGAAGGTGTTCGTGGATCTGATGTAAATTCAGACGCTGCAATTGATGACGTTCTGATAGAAGAAGGCGCATGTTCCATACCGAGTAAAAGTAAGTGAAGGATACGAAGATGCATCTATCAGATTCAAAGATATATACGATACGACTTCGTTGAATTTGATTGTTTGTTGTCAGAGTTAATGCTGGTGCTTGGTTGGTTGTATCTTTGTTGCTGTTGAGCTCTTCGCACTCTAAAGCTTGGATGGCATTCAAGCGACGTGCAAAGCGGCTTTGCACGGCGCTTCAAAGCGCCATCAAAGCGCCCTTGGTGTGAACTTAGCTTTACATACCAATCTTCAGATAGGAGGAGTAAAATGAGATTATATATGTGCATCTTAAGCTAAATTCACACCAACGGCGCTTTGATGGCGCTTTAAAGCGCCTTGCAAAGCGGCTTTGCACGCCGTTTTAAAGCGTCATCAAAGCGCCGTTGGTGTGAACTGAGCTTTACTCAAGCAACCTCAAACACACTGAGCTTATAAGTCGGTGTGTTGCGCATCCCAGGTACTTTGAAATTCCATAATGTATTAAATCAGTGCTTATTCAACGTGGCAGTATTGTCTTCCTCAAGACGTGTACATCATTATTGGCGAAGCGTGAAGATGAAAATTCCATCATTTCAGTGTCAGGGTTAGGCACTGAAACACTAAATAGACGTTATTAGACATCTCCATCAGTTCATTTGCCTAATGTCTTGTAGGTGTAACCTGTGATTTTGAGGAAGCACATCTCTGTGGATATGTTCAGAGTTCAGATGACGATTTTGACTGGTCCTGGGAAACCATAGCAACGCCAACTGATAAGACAGGATGTGATACTGATCACACATACGGTAATCGTGTACAACGTCTAGCAATACATTACCACGGAACCTTGAAATAACTGTCTTACTTCTGTAATTCCATTGTTAACTCGACAGACAGGTAAACATGAAATTGACGTTTGTATGAAAATATTCTGAACGATTGAATAGGGATGTTGAGCCACACGTTTTAAAAAAAGTTGTACTTGAACGTGTATGTGTAATATTATGACCTTTAGGAATTATAGTCATCTTGTCAATTGGTTTCCCAGTGACCTAAGTACAACTATCTTCCATACACCTTTATAATCAATCGTTTGAGTATTTACTACCACAGGCGATAACTAATCCCCAGACTGCCACAATAACATAATTCTACGCGTTTGCGTACAAGTTCTCTTAAAAACGTGTACCTTAACCGCACTTGATCATACATTTTTGTACATTCTCTTGTTATATCTTAAAGGAAATGGCACGGGACACTATCTTTATATTGAAGCAAGCCAAACACAACCAAGAAGTCGTGCAGCTATTGCCAGTCCAGTAACAAAGTTAAACGGTGGTGAAAATAGATGTCTCACGTGGTGGTATCACATGAATGGTGATGACATTGCTGATTTGGAAATCACTGCAAGTATTCATAAAACTCATATTATAATAGCGCAATGGCAAAGGACGGGGGCGCAAGGAAACTTTTGGATCAAAGGTAGTTTGCAGATAAGTTGTTCTGCCAAGAGTTCCGTTGAATTTAAGTTTTCTGCAACGAAAGGTGAAGGACAATCGAAAGGAGATATTTGTTTGGATGATATTAGTTTAGTCGATGGAGCATGTTGAATAATATGTCGTGTTTGGAGGGGCGTAGCCAGGATCTAGAAATTGGCAAAGCACATTTGCCTCATGTCTGGCAACGCCCTTTGTCAAGGATGCAAAAATGATCACCTAGAAACACATTGCACATTTGTTTTTGTTTTTTGTTTTTTATTAAATTAATCATTTGTACAAAGAATACATACAATAATACAGTGTAAGTGGCTGTGCTTTTAGCATTATTAGCCACGTTCTACAATTACAATATACAATGTATTCAATGAATAATATTTGATTAAAATAAATGAGATACAATAAGATAAAAGTTGTTTTGTGGAGGATTTCAGACATTTACACATCGCTCGAAGAAAATGGCACTGCACTTTAAAACAATCAGATTCTCAGCTCTACTTAATGTTTTATCACCATTGAGGATCAGAGAAAGTTTATCACGTTGTGTCTTATATTTACGGGAGTATTGTATATTCATATTTTTTAGTTGGTTTTCTAATTCAGTCCAGAATGTTAATCTCAAGTTACATCGAAAAATCACATGGCTGGTTGTTTCACTGTTAATACCACATGAGCAGATGGGGGAATTTACATCGGTAAAGTTATGCGAGTAAAGGTGAGCCTTGAAAATGAAATCACATCGTACTCTGTTAAATATAATTTCTTGGTTTCTTGAGATGGACAGTTCTGATGAGTTAATGACAGTTTCGTTAAAAATATTTCTTTTAAGGCTTGATTTAAATATGCTTAAGCTAGATGAGTTCTTTATATCAGATGGCAGTAGATTCCATTCTGATATTGTTTTTGAGATACAAGATCTTTCATAAAATTTGGATTTAACTGGTAAAATATAGTCAAGTTGGTGTCTTAGTACATGTGTTTGATTTCTTTTTAGTGGTTCAAATATCTCAGTAACATAAGAAGGCAGCAAATTGTTGTGAGCTTTATACATAAAGGTAGCTCTATGATATTGACGTCTATTTGAGAGTGTGGGCCAATTTAAAGTATTCAACACTTTTGTGGTTGATGTTCCATGCATTGCACCTGAACAAATAAGTGCAGCTTTATAGTAAAGGCGGTCTAAAAGTTGTAGTTTTGTCAAATTTGCACATCCGTAAAGAATATCACAATAATCAAAGAGTGGCAAAATAAAAGACTTAAAAATTGTTTCAAGGTGTTTTCCACTTATTTTCTTACTGAAGACTTTTAACGGATTTATGAGTTTATCTATTCTTGCTACAAGTTCAGTAATGTGATAGTCAAAAGTGAGATTTTTGTCCAAAATCAACCCCAAGTGCTTGTGATTGTGTGTGATTGCACATTACATTTAAACTGGGAACACTTTTAATTGGTCAAGAGAAAACGAGACATACAATCAATCGGACAATCAACCTGTTAAAATGTGAGAGATCTTCTTAGTTTGACTTATCATACACTACCATAATGCTATACAGTTACATAATACACTTCCTTCAAATGCGAATAATGAGACAATTCGCGATTTCAGTGAATACTATTATTATGCTATTATATTTTTAACAATATATCATTATTTTTTATTCAATAGCTACTGCGATATTCATAGTTTATATCTAACAGGACTAGAAAAACAGCAACTCCACTAAACAAAATGTATTTTGATAATTAATGGCCATCTTGAATTTTCTTCTTAAACAGAGCATATTAGCATATAAAATTTGAACCAAATCCATCCGCTGGTGTTTGAGTTATCAACGATTTTTTTCCCAAAAATGGAGGCCATTTTGAAATAAGCTGCCATCTTTAGAATATTGTCTTGAGCAGAGCCCTAAGGTAGCAGCACATCAACATTAAAACAAATCTGTCAACTGGTATTTGAGTTCTCAAAGATCACATTTTTAACGATAAATGGCAGCCATTTTGATAAATAGCGGCCATCTTGAAAACATCTTCTAGAGCAGACCTCCTTTAAGCATCAGCATGTAATATTTGAACCAAAACCATCCACTAGTATTTGACTTACCAAAGATAACACTTTTAAATGGCGGCCATTTTGAAATTTAGCTGTCATCTTGACCTCTCAACCAGATGTCCTTAAGAAGTCTCCTTAAATCACTCCGCTTTCATAAGAAAATATATCATTCCCTCATCTTTGAAATGTAATCAGAGAGATCAGTACCTGTCTCCTGAAACTTATCCTCATTTCACTCATTAAACGTAAATTGGCCTTGTGCTCCAGTCCGCCAGTGCAGGAAAGGGAAAAGTATGTCAATGGCGGTAAACGGTGGCCATTTTGAATTGAGTGGCCATATTGGAAATTCCTTCTCGAGCAGATGATCCACACTCCTAAGGCGTTAGCCTATAAAATCTTAATTAAATTATAGTTATCGCCCGGACACATGAACAAACGGAAGGACGGACTTCGTTCGGTGGGATAGTTAAAACGGTGCACACCAGTGAAAAATGTTTCAATTTCATTCCAAGCCATGTACATGTAAATGTAGATGCCGCCTTATCCAATGTTCATCCGGATATTTGCTACTGGCTGCAGCTGATTAGAAGTTTGGAAAGTTTGACAAGTACCCTTGTTACTATGGAATAAAAATAACCCTATCATATCATACTATAAAATCACCCCCAATGAGATCCATGCGGAATCCGTGGATCCTTACGGAATGTATTTCACGTGGATTTTGAACTGCCCGTGTATTAATAATTTCTACACACTTTTGCTACTAGCCTAAGTATAATTATGTATCTATGAATATTTGAATAAAAAGGAGTGTTTTATAAAATAATGACAATCATTCTTAATTATTTTTAGTTATTGCGAAAACCAAGGAGTGAGGCAGCTTGCGGCTTTGCGAGTGATATGTCTAAATAGGAAATAAATATACCTATTATTATACCTCCCCCGCATCCCATAGCTATCACTAGCAACACATAGATTATTTATAATCATTCTATATATCCCTTTTGTAAACAAAGAGAACAAATGGAACCGATGGAACTAAAATGTAGACATGTCGATACTAAATAGTGGAATATATAGTTATCTGCTTGACAATGAAATAAGGAACAATAATATTTCGAGTAATCGATGGTTTTCAAGAATTTTTTTTACAACAGTAAGCATGGTCTAATTTTATATTCCAACAGAGATACAAGTATATTATCGAATAGGGTATTTGTATGAGTTCTTTTTGATATCTTGAATCCATTTATCTGATCATGATATATGGATTTTAGGATGTTTTTGAAAATGTATTATGATCTAGCTTACGTCGTAATATTTATCAAAACGATGCCTAATGTCGTTGTTTTAATATTACTATGTGTATTTCACAAAACTGTGTATTATAAAAACCCTCAATGAATATATGGTATATGAATAATGGTAATATATTCTACGGCATGTATTATGGATACAGTTAATAGGTGGTGTTGTGATTAAAAGAAAACAATTGCAATGTGAAATGTTATCATGAAATAATGGGCATAAATGCCGTCATGGGTAGCAGCAATACGTGTCACTGTACTCAGACAATCAATTGCATCAACACACTTTCCGTGGTTGTTAACGAATATGAAGGTGTGATAGAAATGTAATGCAGGGAGGATTGGTTGTTAACGTGGTTGTTTTGATTGCTTCCAGGTCTTTAGTATCCAGTTGATTGCATTATCATGTTATTATATTGCTATTTCAAAATTGGTTTTGAGTATCTCTGGTCTTTGATATTTGGCGTTTGAAAATTTAGTTGGAAGTGATGGTGTCTGTAAATGATGGGACACGTCAATTCCTTCACATCTCAACAATTTTCATTGGGTTGGAAACGGTATTCGAAATGAGGAACTTTCAAATTATTTGCTTTAAACCCAGAATTGATTGTTAGACGTTTATGAACGTTCTGGGGTATCAATTTTAGAAATTAACCACATATCGCCCATGATTGATTGACCTATACCAGTATGTAACAAACAATCAAAATTATCATTTACATGTTTACTGAAAGATGTATTAAAATACATATAGGGCCAGAAGTGTACTTAAAATATGGCACCATTCTTAGTAAATATCGATGCATACTAGTATACGAATTGTGCATTTCCAACAATGCTGTACTGCATAAAGTCCAATCCAGTATAGCTTCTGGTAAGCCCCTTTCGTTCGTAAAAAGGAACTACTAAGATTGGTCCAAGCTTCCGAACCTGGAGTCATAGACATAGGCTGTGTTCCAATCAACTAGAATGATGTCCCAAACACAGAGTCGGACCCCTTTGTTATCATGCTTGACATCGAGATATCTTTGACTCTACACAATGAAGCCCTTGTCATATTTTGAAAAAACTGTAGTGAACTAAAGTGATAGTAAAACACATGTATGTTTATCTCAGATAACACATTCTTTAGGTCAATTACAGTAGTAGAATAATGTTTACTCACTGTCTTTGAGTTTATGCATATCAATTGTAACCAGCCAGTTGATGATGCTTGTGAATGTGATTAAAACAATGTAGGTGAGGATCTGGAATACTTGGCCTTGTCGGAGCCTTGTCATATTCAAATATATCGTTTGTAAAAGCGTCTGGAACACAACACATTTTGAGATAAGACATTTACCCATATCATCCAGTTGGAGGACGGATTCTTCAATTACGATTTCTAGAGCACTAACCAAGGATGGCAAACCAAAGAGTTGTGGTCGTTGTTGTTACCATAGTGGTGACGATTGTCATTGTAGTTAGTTTCATCATCGGATTTGTCTCAGTTCAAAATCCAACAACCAAAAGTGGAACGTTCCTTGATGGCGTATCAGATAAAATTATCAAAGATGGAGATGAAGGGATAACACAAAGGTTGATCAAGGAGATAAGCGCTAACAGCATTAAAGGATATCTTAAGTAAGTTCATAATGCATTTTTCTGGTATGCCTTAGCTTATTTACTTAAAACTTATTCACCTAAAACTTGGTAGCCCCAGTGTCCAGAGGATCACTGTCATCACATATAAGAGAAGAAAATGATAGATGATATCATGAGTTTATGAAAAGTGATATCCTTGGTTTGACACTTTGTTTATTTTTAGAAACCTCACATCAAAACCACATCTTGCTGGGACGCCGGCGGATCTGACGCAAGCGACGCAGATCAAGGAAGAATGGGAAAGCTACGGCCTAAGTCCGGTGGTACTCAACCCCTATCGTGTCATGCTATCATACCCGGACAGAGAAAGTCCAAATCTTATCCAGCTGATCAACGACAAAGATGAGATCGTATTCTCTTCACAGGCTATTGAGAAGCCATTGAGACCCGAGCATAATTATTCTGACGTCGCGCCGCCTTTTAATGCATATTCAGCTTCCGGAACACCACAAGTAGGGATTTCTTCTTTGGTGTAGTTATCACCATCTTATACATTGACATTTTCTTCAACTTTGTTTCACTCCATTTCCAAGTTGTTGTTTTTCGTTTGATTGCTTATTTATTTGTTTGTTTGTTTGCTTGTTTGGACCTCTACACAAGATGATATTTACTTTTTAGGGTGACCTGGTTTATATCAACTATGGCCGACAAGAGGATTTTGCTTGGATTACGCAGACAAAGGGATTTAATCTTACTGGAAAAATTTGCATTGCACGTTATGGTAAAATATACAGAGGGTCAAAGGTAATTATCGATACTTTAGCTTTGACCACTTGTTTTTCGAAATCTCGCCTATTTGTTGAAAGCCCGTGGTTAAGAATGCTAATATCTTCCAATGTGTCACGGTTAATCGTTATGATATCCCCGTTTGCTTGTTTTGTTTTTCTGCTTCATTGTTTTTATCATGAACATTTATATTGTTTTTCAATTTTTTCATAGAGCATATGCTTTTTATAATTGACTATTAAATCAAGGCTTTGTTGGCTGAAAACTATGGTTGCGCCGGTCTGATCATCTACAGCGACCCAGCTGACTACGCAAAAAATGGAGAAGATAACGTGTACCCGAATTCTGAATGGCTGCCCGGTACAGGGGTTCAGAGAGGATCGTGCTCTAAATGTAACTGTGGGGATCCCACAACCCCAGGGTACCCTTCAATAGGTAATGAATAAAATAGATACTCTGAAAGGATGCAACTTACTCGTACGATATCTGGACCGCAATTTTGAACTTTCTCCACAACAAATTGTAGAGCGGGTCGTTGTTCCCTCTTCAAAAGAGGAAACGCGAAAATCTTTCCTTTTAATGTCAAAATATTTCCCATGATGCAGTTCGCGGAGGAACAAATTTATATTTCATTGTTTTCCCCCCATAGGATTTTCATAATTATTTTTCAAACGTTATATTTGTTCATATTCCCGTACGAGGGCACAGAAAAATTATCAGAAACGATTGATCTCTTATTAATCTTAATAAAACATATATTTTTCCTTATATTCGTTCATAGCGTGGTGAAAACGATGATTGAAAAGTGAGAAAATATTCCGGAAGAGAAGCTCACTTTATCAGTTGACTAGTTGCCATATTGGAAAAAAACAATTCCATTCGACTTTCAACACTTTCATACCAACCTCACCGCATTACAAACTGCAACATCGATGCAACAACTTAATAAAAGTACTCATCTTTAAATTACATTATAGAGTTACGTTGAAAACCCACAAACTGAACAGTTGACCAAAGACGACGCGTCTCTATTATCTAGGTCAATATGTTCAGTGATTCGAAAGCAAATCTATAGTACTCGTTTTCGAATTTTGTTGTTCATTGTACAATCTTAGTTTGATCTCGCGGTATACTGACTATTAAAGCAATAACAAAGAAGAATACTTCCGATGATGTCATTGTTTTATTTAGCGCGCGGGTGTAAAAACAAATTTGCGTAATTGGTTTGATTTAGAACTTTCGGGTCACGCAAATAGCTACGCGAAATGCATCGTGGGAAAATGTTCACCAATCAAATTTAGTCCTTTTTGAGTACATATTTGCTCCATATTTCCGAACGTTCCGATTCAAAGAGCGAACCGCGAAATGGACAATTGGGCTTTTTAAATTGACTTCACCTATTCTCTTTTTGAATATGTGAAACTTCTTGGAATGAAAAGAATAAATGTAGCTTCTTTCAGTTACATGTATAATGAATTTGGTAGTTTGGTTCTTCCTACTTAAATTGTTTTTTGTTCACAAGTGACTAGATAAAATATTTGTTTGGAAATAGATGGTTGCTATAGAGTACCAGATGATAAACTGGACGTGTTCAAAATACCTATACAACCAATTGGCTACGACGATGCCCTTGAATTTCTTGGTAAAATGGCAGGCGAAGAGGTACCAGAAGGCTGGAAGGGAACACTAAACATAACATATAGGTGAAGAGCCCTTATTGCATTGTGTATAGCAATCTGCATTGTTGTATTTTAGGCATGTACGGTAGCCTCAAATTGAAGTGATTCCTCTAGATCAATTTACCTTCACCTATATACTTAATATTGTAGATTGGGTCCAGGTCTTTCCCAAGTGAACTGGAGCACACGCATGAGGATCTCAACAAGAAATAAGATGGCGACGACATACAATGTAATAGGCTATATATCTGGAGAAATTGAACCAGGTTATGCTTATTCTAAATGCCCTCCATCAAATCAGTAGATTAATAATGTAAACGCCATGCTTAGTAGGATTTCAGTACTTGACGGTATCATTCAAAAACAGTAGAAGTGAAGTGTGATATCCATCTTCCGATTTGTCCATTTCCCATCCTTTTCATTCTTTCGACTTCACTTCTAAAAAGAGAGCTTCATCTTATAACTAGACTCCTCGTCAAGGTTGCTATATTATATTTCCAGATAGGTATGTTATACTGGGTAACCATAGAGATGCATGGGTCTTTGGCTCAGTGGATCCATCTAGTGGTAAAGCTTGTTTGATGGAAGTCGCAAGAGTCTTTGGTAAACTATATAAAGAAGGTAATAGGTTATTTTAAGGAATTAGGGGTTTGGACATGTATCTAAAAATTCAATATTGTACGGCAAATTGTATGACTTGTATGGTTGTTCTGAGAAGAGGAGATCGATTTCAAACAACTTTTTTTAAATTAAAAATCTTTATTTTCACATATTATTTTACAGGTTATTAATGTTGTTTACTGTAGAAGGAGAGAGAGAAAAGGAAAAATTGTTGATTTTTGTCACTTTGTATTAAAATGATGATATTAAAGAGTCTGCAACAGATATTCCATAGTGTCTCGTGTTGTTCCATTTCAATCAAGTTGAGGTCTCGATCGCGATGTGTCCTTTCAAATAAATATTTATATCAAAAATGGGTAGTTGTGGGTAGTTCCCCTACCTCCAAGGACCATCTTTCAAATCACAAATAATCTCTGCAAATTCCGTAATTTTGAAATCCTCAATCGGGGCAACGTTTTGTAAGTGGACTTCATGTTAACCATCTGTGTCGTGTGTGCTATGTTTGCTGTACATGGGTTACATTGTAGGATGGAGGCCGAGGAGAACAATTATCTTTATCAGTTGGGGCGCAGAGGAATACGGTTTAGTTGGCTCCAGAGAGTTTGTTGAGGTACACTATATTATTTGGAACCATGTGACAACTAGCCTAAGCAGCGATGAAAGAAATCCAAAGAGATTCCTCACTAGCAAAAAGTATTTGTTACAAATAAAACATAGAAGGTCTATATAATAGTGCATTTTGAAGACGGGTTACTGAACATCATCCGAACACAGGCCTCTAGAACTAATACCTCAAGGAAAGGCTGAAACACGAGTTCTGGAGGCCTGTGCTCAGAGGATGGTAAATGAATGGACAGGACCCTACAACATAAAACAGTTGATCACATGCCTGTATTGTAGCTTAATCAATTATAATCGTCATTATTATGAGTCTCATTTAATAGAAATACATTCCAGCAATTTGGCAAGAACTTGCAAGATCGTGTTGTGGCATACTTAAACATGGATTCTTCTGTACAAGGCCAGTATGCCATGTTCTCTCGATCCGTGCCTCTCATGTACAAAGTCCTCTACGAGACAACTAAGAAAATTCCCAATCCCAACCCCGATGAAATCAAAGCTGGTAGAAAATCCGTGTATGATACTTGGGTAGAAAGGCGACCTAGAGTTGGGAGAAATGGAAAAACTTTTCCACACATTACAAGACCTGCCTCTGGAAGTGACTTTGCACCGTTCACATATAGTATCGGGGTACCCATTACTGGTATGAGATATATGAAACAGACAGGCGGTTATGCTTTGTATCACAGTGCCTATGAAACCATGCATCTCATGGAAACGTTCTTGGATCCCGAATTCAAGGTAAGAAAGTAACAAGTGATACATCAAATGCATATGAAACATTGCCTAACATATCTCATCATTAGAATGTTCACAGTACTTAATCAAAATCTTGAGTTAATTACACAATTAGCTGATCCACAAAACAGCACGTAACTTGTAAAACGTTAACTTCTGCTCCACCACCAATGTAAACTATTGAAAACGTTCTGATACTAATGTGACGACCCATAAGCCTGTCTACTCTTTTCAATGGCTTATATCTGGTATTATGTGCCGTTACTGAGCCTTTTTATTGCTTTACTTTCATTAGATTAACTAATAATTTCACTGTCCACCAGTAAGGAGTTATACTGTACTATGTATGTATAGCTAGAAGTGGCTGGAACCCTTATACTTCTTTGGTACCCAGAGCTAAAAGTGGCTAGAAGCCTTATACATCATTGGTACCCATAACCAGAAGTGGCTAGAAGCCTTATACATCCTTGGTACCCATAGCTAGAAGTGGCTAGAACCATTAAACATCTTTGGTACCCATAGCTAGAAGTGGCTGAAACCCTTATACTTCCTTGGTACACATAGATAGAAGTGGCTAGAAGCCTTATACATCCCTGGTTACCATTGCTAGAAGTGGCTGAAATCCTTATACATCCTTGGTACCCGTAGCTAGAAGTGGCTGGAACCCTTATACATCCTTGGTACCCATAGCTAGAAGTGGCTGGAACCCTTATACTTCCTTGATACCCATAGCTAGAAGTGGATAGAAACCTTATACATCCTTGGTTACCATGGCTAGAGGTGGCTAGAACCCTTATACATCCCAGATTACCATGGTTAGAAGTGGCTAGAACCACTATTCACCCTTGATACCATTGCTAGAAGTGGCTAGAACCCCAAGTTTATTAATATAGACAGCATTAGTCCCATTTGTAACGTGTAGCCAGACAGTTAACACATCTATTACTGATTGACTATAAGACTTATGACAGATCGAGTATGGACTTATAATTATCTTATTATTTTATTGTTACTGTTTAAGCGTTACTAGTTTGGAACATGATAGCAGTCTGGGACTGTGTAATGCCAAGGCTACGCTACACTTGTATGGCAGATGCATGGCCCACGATTGTTACACTAATAATCTTATGGCGAAGGACACATAGTACAAGTATTATTTTTAATTATATCACAGTACCACGAAGCAATGGCATGTGTTTGGGGTGAACTAGCACGGGCCTTATCTGATAGCTATGTCTTACCGATAGAGGTCTCTGATTACGCCCATGAAATATCCGTTTATGTTCAACAACTGGAGGATGCTTTTGGCGCAAATTTTACAAGAAAAAATATAACGCTAGGTATAGTTCAATTTCTTTTTTCCCTTTTATACAATTTTGTTATATATAGTATATAGTCATCCGTCAATTTATATTGAGACAGTTATATTATTTATATATTATAATTATACATTACATTGACATACGTATTTACATGTGACTATATCAATCTTTAATCATGGATTTTGAATGAGCATTTGTAAATGAAACAAACTGACATATTTGAGACGCACGTGTTTATCATACACTCAGATATATCATGTTATAGATTATGTGAAGGCTGCGTCACAAAGATGAGTGCAAGTTTCCCAGAACTTTGATGAGACAGTGACCAAAATAAATAAAAATAAGTATGTATTGAACACAGGATGCCTCAAAATGACGTGAAATAAAGGAGACGTACTGGTATTCAAAAATTCAATACTGTATCTCCACGTGTATCAATGTCAACGTAACTATGTTTAAAATATTTTTTTACATAAATCGGAATATGTTAGCCACAACACATCATAACATAGATGATTGGTAAACGATATGTCAAATGCCATTGAGCAAAATACTGAATCGATTGCATTAAATATATTTTTGATTGAAACTTTCCAGTCCATTACATGTACGACGGGTGAATGATCAAATGGTGAAGATGGAAAGACATTTCATAGACCCAATGGGCCTTCCAAACAGACCACTGTATAGGTATGTACTGCATAATGTGTACATTACCACATAGCCTTGCCCAAGTCGGTATTTTTAGTTATCTGATCTTGAATTTTTACCATAGAAATCAACATAAGTAAAGGAGACCGACTTGGGCAAGGCTAAATATCACAATTCTTAACAAATTGGCCAGTCTTATCATTTAGTGAGTCCTGGATCTTGCCACGCGTTTGTTGAGCGCCTTTAATATGTTTAAAGAATGATAAATGCTTTACCTCTCAAACTTTACCTAGTACTACATGTGCGGCGTATGGAAATATTTTCTCTATCGTTGTGCCTTTGGCTTCAACATAATTTTAAATTTGTAAAAAAAGTCTTTATAATATCATAGCAATTTGTGTCCTGGTATAGCCCGCTACTCTATGCCCCAATTTACTGTTTCAACCGAGCTATCTGCACCTTGAGCCAAACGTCAATCAGGTTTAATATTTTTCAGACATGTGATATTTTCCCCAAATGAATTCAACGCTTATTCGTCGGGGTCGGGATTCCCGGGCATATCTGATGAGATGTTTCAGATTGAATTGGAAGAAACGCCTGAGCGATTGGAGGTTGTTAAGCGCCACCTATCAGTGATATCCTTTCTCATAAGCAGCGCAGCTTCATCATTAGAGGATGTTAGTGACTTTGTCAAGTGACGAGATCGCACTTTTCGTAACATTCTCTGTGTTATAAGTAATTAAAGGACAATACCGAACTGACATTGAAATGTCTGAGATTATATATCAGTGAGATTACGAACATTTAAAGGCCATAATATAAACACGTCATTTTGAACGAACATTTTATAAAAAGATGCTATGCATTTAGTGTGAAAGATGCACAGGTATTTTTAAGCTTATGTTTTATTTATTAATACTATCATTATAAAAAGTGAAAGTCTCCGACAATGGGCCAAGGCCCCCTGGCATTTGTGGCCCACATTTTCACATATATAAAATACAATCTAAAATAGTGTTAGTAGGCACATAATAATCAAATAATTCCAGGCTGTTTGACACTCAACATGATAAGTTAAAATGCAATATTACGCACCCATCAAATATATAAAAGTTAAAAAAAGTCTACAATTGAAGATAGAAAGTTAGACGTTTTTGTTACTTTAAGCAGAAACATATTTTTTTACATTTATTTTGACATGTTGGTGAATGTTGAAATTGGGTATCCCCGCAAGGTCGAGTGCTAGTTGCTCCCTGAGAAAGTAATATATTCACTTCAATAGAATTAAATAGTTGACTGTATAATATTTAGAATATATAATCTTTCCATTGGTGATGTAGACTATCTATCCATGTTCATTATATTTTTAACTAAAACTGTATACACGAGGTTCATTGTTTTAAGCTATTTATGGTCATTCTATGTGTTCATTGTACATTCGGGCTTGTAGGGTACCATACTATCACACCAAACTAGTTCTCACTACGTTCTCGAAAACGGGCTTCAACTGTGTACCGTTTGAACTTAGAACCGTTTGGGGTCTATTTACAAACTTCATCGAACGTACTCGAATGGGTAGGTTCTCTAGAACTTAGAACATGCTCAAAATGTTCTCTTGGTCGTTACGTTCTACAATTAGAACGAGTGACACAACCTACTAACGACGAGCTGGACGTACTACGAACGGAACCGTCGTACTTCAATCCTACAAGGGACGTTTTTACAATGAGTTGAATTGTCTGAGGACGTATTGAGAACGAGGTAGAACTAATTGCAAACGGGTTAAAACTGATTAAGAACGTATTTATCAACAAGTTAGCAAAAATATAGCTATCACACCAAGCAAGTTGCGTTCTTCAAAACTGGTTTTAATTTAAATTGTGTGCGAACGGATGGAATGAATATAGCTACAACGTTCTACGGTCTGTTTACGAACTTCATGGACTTTCCCGGACGGGGAATGTGATTTAGAATTTTGAATCGATTAAAAATTCGATGGCGACCATACCGTTCTGTAATCAGGTCATGATGACATTCTTGACTAAGAGATGCGTTATTAGACGTTGCACACCGATGTAATGAGACCTAAACGAAGTGCGAATGAGATGGACGTATTGAAGACTGTATGTTATTACGTGTTAATGTTGGTGCTTGGTTGATTGTATCTTTGTTGCTATTGAGCTCTTTGCACTCTAACGTACCAATGTTCAGATAGGAGGAGTAAAATGAGATTATATATTGTGCATCTTGCAACTACCTCAAACACACTGAGCTCAAAATTCGATTTGATGCGCATCCCAGGTACATTGAAATTTCATAATGTATTAAATCAGTGCTTATTCAACGTGTCAGTATTGTCTTTCTCAAGACATCCTTATTGGCGAAGCATTAAGATGAAAATTCCATCGACAACCCATCATACATTATCATTTTTCTGAGGTTTAAGAATATATTCACTTTCAATATTTTAGCAATATATATATATTATGAGGTTATATAATGGTTCTTTCTGTATATCGTGTTTATACTCGAGTGAGTATATGATATATTCACAAGTGAGCGTAGCGAACGAGTGAATATATTATATTCTCACGAGAGTATAAAATGCACGATATACAGAATGAACCATTATATAATCTTATTATGCCACTCTAAGTTCAATTACAGTTGATTCGAACACAATCATAACAATTAAAAACCATAAAAATATCCCATAGCCAACTCAATAATGCTGATGTTGATCTCGAACCATTTATGACGTCACTTGATTCTAGGAAATCATGAAAATTTTCATGATTTTTTTTATTCATTAGTTCCCAGAATGCACTTCTACAGTGGTATACGCTGGAGTGTATACGGAGGAGTTGTATACGATGACGATATACCACTCTCCACTGTATATCGTTGTTATAGACCCATGTTATACAACTGTAATTGGACTTAGAGTGGTATAACAAGATTTATGCATACATTAATTTGGAGGCACTCTAAATCTTATATTGATTGGATGCAAGCAATATAAGCACTGTAAAAGTGAAGTTGAACAAAGATGGGGCACATGATGAGGGCAGCTGATATCTTGATTCACATATCAAATATATCTTCATGTGATATTCGATCTATATCCTTGCAACCATGGGATAAATGGTGTTATTATATCACTATCTAGCTAGCGACAGTATGATTGGTCAAAACCGGGTCACATGTCGTGGGATATCTGGCGATATTCAATGGCAATGCTAATCAGATAAGACAACCGTGAGATATCTAGCGATATCCCACGCTCCCGGGAATTTTCAAAGAATTTGTTTTCGTTCAGTTTAAATAATTTAGTTCAGTGTAAGTCAAAATGGCAGACGAACCGAGTAGAATATATGTATTTCAATGTTAACCTATGACTTAATAATATTAGGGATGTTTAGCTAGACAGTGATATAATAAAACAAATGTTTCACTCTATTTTCGGTGAATACCTGTAGCACTTTCACAAGGTGATATTCCACTTGCCCTTCGGGCTTCGTGGAATATCACTTGTGAAAGATGTACAGGTATTCACCTCAATAGAGTGAAATATTTGTTCAATATCCACATGCTGAGTCAATGAAACCAAAAAAAAAAATTGAAATAAGGTCAAAATTGTCCTTTACAATATTCTTTATCATATTTTTATATTTTAAATTTTGTAAATGATGATTTTGCACACAAGAACCTTTAATTTTCAGATGCACTGACTTGACCTTTACAAGGTCACTATGACCTCAATAACACTTAGGATGCACCTGAACACTATACCATAGTTATATGACATGGTGTTCAGGTTATATATACCATATATACCAATTATATGTCATACTGGTTATCAATGACCTTGGGGCATTTTTATATACTTAGTATGACGGATCCTTTGCCTCTTGCTGGCAACGCCCTTGGTCAAGGATGCAGAAATGATCGCCTAGAAACACATTGCGCATTACAATAGCAACATAGACAATAATTGGATAATTTACTCCTGTGAATGGAAGTTGTTTCAAACTGGGAACGCGTTTAATTGGTCAAGAAAAAACGAGACATACAATCAATCGGACAATCAACCTGATGATGCTATGCAGTTACATTATACACTTCCTTCAAATGCGACAATCCGTGATTTCAGTGAATACTATTATTATGCTATTATATGTTTAACAATATATTATTATTGTTTATTCAATAGGTGCTGCAATAGTCAACGTTTATATCTTACAAAACTAAAAAACAGCAACTCCACGGAGTAGCAAATCCCACTAAACTAAATGTATTTTGATAATTTATGGCCATCTTGAAATTTCTTCTTGAACAGAGCATATATAATTTGAACCAAATTTATCCGCTGGTATCTGAGTTGCGACGATTTTTTTCCAAAAGTGGGGGCCATTTTGAAATTCAGCTGCCATCTTGAGAATATCGTCTTGAGCAGAACCCCTTATATCTAGTATTTGATTTATCAAAGATAACATTTTTTAAATGGCGGCCATTTTGAAATTTAGCTGTCATCTTGACCTCTCAACCTAATTTACTCAAGGAGTCTCCTTAAATCGCTCCGCTGTCATAAGAAAAGATATCATATTCACTCATCTTTGAAATGTTATCAGACAGATCAGTACCTGTCATATAAAACTGATCCTCATTTCATTCACTAAACGTAAATTGGCCTTGTGCTCCGGTCCGCCAGTGCAGGAAAGGGAAAAGTATGTTAATGATGGAGCAGAGGTTCCTCACTCCTTAGGCGTAAGCCTATAAAATCTTAATCAAATTTGAGTTATCGCCCGGACACACGAACGAACGGATGGATTTCGTTTGGTGGGATAATAAAAACGGTGTACACCAGTGAACAATGTTTCATTTTCATTTCAAGACATGTACATGTAAATGTAGTACCGCCATATCCGATGTTTATCCGGATATTTGCTACTGGCTGATCAGAAGTTTGGAAAGTTTGAAAGTACCTTTTTTACTATGGAATAAAAATACTATCATGGAATCCGTGAATCCTTATGGAATGTATTTCACGTGGATTTTGAACTGCCCGTGTATTAATAACTTCTGTAATTTTTTGTAATCATATTTTTGCTACTAGCCTAAGTATATGTATCTATGAATATTTGATTAAAAAGGAGTGTCTTATAAAATAATGACATACCATTCTTAATTATTTATAGTTATTGCGAAATATAAACCAAGAGGCGAGGCAGCTTGCAGCCCTACGAGTGATGTGTCTAAATAGGAAATAAGTATACCTATTATTATAACTCCCCCGCATCCTATAGCTATCACTAGCAACACATAGATTATTAATAATTATTCTATATATCGTTTTTGTAAACAAAGAGAACAAATGGAACCGATGGAACTAAAATGTAGACATGTCGATACTAAATAGTGGAATAGTTATCTGCTTCACAATGAAATAAGGAATAATAATATCTCGAGTAATCGATGGTTTTCAAGAATTATTTTTTATAACAATAAGCATGGTCTAAGTTGATATTCCAACGGAGATACAATTTTATTATCGAAATGGGTATTTGTATGAGTTCTTTTTGACATCTCGAATCCATTTATCCGATCATGATCTATGGATTTTAGGATGTTTTTGAAAATGTATTATGATCCTCCTAGCTTACGTCGTAATATTTATCAAAACTATGCCTAATGTCATTGTGTGGATATTATAACTAGTTATTTCACAAAAGTGTGTATCATCAAAGGCTATGCATTAGAATTATAAAAGGCTATGCATTAGAAATGCTGCCGTCAACAGTTCTGGAAGTAAAAGATTACATATTTTGGCATTATTATGAAAAAAATGTTCAATGAAA